GATGAATGGAGATGAATGGAGATGAATGGAGATGAATGGAGATGAATGGAGATGAATGGAGATGAATGGAGATGAATGGAGATGAATGGAGATGAATGGAGATGAATGGAGATGAATGGAGATGAATGGAGATGAATGGAGATGAATGGAGATGAATGGAGATGAATGGAGATGAATGGAGATGAATGGAGATGAATGGAGATGAATGGAGATGAATGGAGATGAATGGAGATGAATGGAGATGAATGGAGATGAATGGAGATGAATGGAGATGAATGGAGATGAATGGAGATGAATGGAGATGAATGGAGATGAATGGAGATGAATGGAGATGAATGGAGATGAATGGAGATGAATGGAGATGAATGGAGATGAATGGAGATGAATGGAGATGAATGGAGATGAATGGAGATGAATGGAGATGAATGGAGATGAATGGAGATGAATGGAGATGAATGGAGATGAATGGAGATGAATGGAGATGAATGGAGATGAATGGAGATGAATGGAGATGAATGGAGATGAATGGAGATGAATGGAGATGAATGGAGATGAATGGAGATGAATGGAGATGAATGGAGATGAATGGAGATGAATGGAGATGAATGGAGATGAATGGAGATGAATGGAGATGAATGGAGATGAATGGAGATGAATGGAGATGAATGGAGATGAATGGAGATGAATGGAGATGAATGGAGATGAAGGGAGATGAAGGGAGATGAATGGAGATGAATGGAGATGAATGGAGATGAATGGAGATGAATGGAGATGAATGGAGATGAAGGGAGATGAAGGGAGATGAATGGAGATGAATGGAGATGAATGGAGACGAAGGGAGACGAATGGAGATGAATGGAGATGAAGGGAGACGAAGGGAGATGAAGGGAGATGAATGGAGATGAAGGGAGACGAAGGGAGACGAATGGAGATGAATGGAGATGAATGGAGATGAAGGGAGACGAAGGGAGACGAAGGGAGATGAAGGGAGATGAATGGAGATGAATGGAGATGAATGGAGATGAATGGAGATGAAGGGAGACGAAGGGAGACGAAGGGAGATGAAGGGAGATGAATGGAGATGAATGGAGATGAATGGAGATGAATGGAGATGAATGGAGATGAATGGAGATGAATGGAGATGAATGGAGATGAATGGAGATGAATGGAGATGAATGGAGATGAATGGAGATGAATGGAGATGAATGGAGATGAATGGAGATGAATGGAGATGAATGGAGATGAATGGAGATGAATGGAGATGAATGGAGATGAATGGAGATGAATGGAGATGAATGGAGATGAATGGAGATGAATGGAGATGAATGGAGATGAATGGAGATGAATGGAGATGAATGGAGATGAATGGAGATGAATGGAGATGAATGGAGATGAATGGAGATGAATGGAGATGAATGGAGATGAATGGAGATGAATGGAGATGAATGGAGATGAATGGAGATGAATGGAGATGAATGGAGATGAATGGAGATGAATGGAGATGAATGGAGATGAATGGAGATGAATGGAGATGAATGGAGATGAATGGAGATGAATGGAGATGAATGGAGATGAATGGAGATGAATGGAGATGAATGGAGATGAATGGAGATGAATGGAGATGAATGGAGATGAATGGAGATGAATGGAGATGAATGGAGATGAATGGAGATGAATGGAGATGAATGGAGATGAATGGAGATGAATGGAGATGAATGGAGATGAATGGAGATGAATGGAGATGAATGGAGATGAATGGAGATGAATGGAGATGAATGGAGATGAATGGAGATGAATGGAGATGAATGGAGATGAATGGAGATGAATGGAGATGAATGGAGATGAATGGAGATGAATGGAGATGAATGGAGATGAATGGAGATGAATGGAGATGAATGGAGATGAATGGAGATGAATGGAGATGAATGGAGATGAATGGAGATGAATGGAGATGAATGGAGATGAATGGAGATGAATGGAGATGAATGGAGATGAATGGAGATGAATGGAGATGAATGGAGATGAATGGAGATGAATGGAGATGAATGGAGATGAATGGAGATGAATGGAGATGAATGGAGATGAATGGAGATGAATGGAGATGAATGGAGATGAATGGAGATGAATGGAGATGAATGGAGATGAATGGAGATGAATGGAGATGAATGGAGATGAATGGAGATGAATGGAGATGAATGGAGATGAATGGAGATGAATGGAGATGAATGGAGATGAATGGAGATGAATGGAGATGAATGGAGATGAATGGAGATGAATGGAGATGAATGGAGATGAATGGAGATGAATGGAGATGAATGGAGATGAATGGAGATGAAGGTTCTCAAAAATCACTCGCAAGGTGGGAGAAGGAGATGATCCCTGTTGATGATTGATGATTAAGGCTTGGCGGAAGGTTAAAAGGAATGATGAGAGAATTCGCGAGGTAGGAACGAAATGCACGAGGTAGGAACGGAATGCACGAGGTAGGAACGGAATGCACGAGGTAGAAACGGAACGGGTTTGTACATCGCGCAGTGGAGAATGCAGGTGAGCAAACGGCTGGATTTGAGGATTCTCAAAAGGAGGATGAATGTGAGCAAAAATATTGTTTTGAGGGTACGTACCAATCAATGTGATCGTCTTGTTCCCTCCACCGGTCGCGCTTCCGTCCGTCGTGCTTGCGTCAGTCTCTTCCGGCATTGGAGTGACCACCGCCTTCTTAAACTGCCCCCTTGCTGCCCCTCCCTCGAAAGCCGCGGTCGTGAATTCTCCGTAGAAATCGTCTGGCGCTTTCAACATTGCAGAAATCACCTTCTTAACAGTCTGCTGGTTTAACGCGATTAGCGTGGTCGTATTAAGCAGCGTCCCCTGAATGTTATAGGTGTAGGTAATAGGGTTGGGCGGCGCGCCGGGCCTCGCCGGCCGGGGCGGACGAGTCATATTCTTCCACGTGGCACCAGCCCTGACAAGCTCGAGTACGGTGGGTCCTGCTGTTCCCACCGCGCCTTGCGCGATGAAGGCGGAGGTCGGCACGTCCGGTTTGGACGTAACGACAGTGACATTGCAGAATAGGTTGAAGTTGTTTTTACCCACCCTGACGGATTCAGTCAGGCCTTCAGACAGGGATCAGTTAGGGTTAGTACAGAAGAGCGGAATTAGGGAGAATTGACGGGATGAGCGCACAGGCCGGAGAAATGTGAGGTAGTGTGCAGCAGCCGAGGCAGAACATTTTCAATTACAAGCGAGGGTGGGATATTGATTCAGCAAAGAAGGTTTCGTTCGTGGTTAGAGTTAACTTCTATCGGAAAATGAAATTGATGGTTGAATACAGGCAATAGGCCACGTGAGGCAAATTGGGCCACATAGCTTACGACAGTACATTACTGTATCTACCATCGTCGATGACCCAAACGGGGTCTCAGAAAATCCGAAGTGGAGGCTCGACAACTCAGACCTCATGTCTGACACCATGGAGGGTGAATGGTCTGAGTACCGGTTTCCAGGTTGGGAACTTCCAATTAGATCTTGTCCGTAGTTTTGACACCAGCTGTTTATGCGTGTCAGCCCGAGTCGGCCCACTTTAGCCGTGTCAAACTCGAGTCGCGCCATTGGAAATGTGCGACGAAACCTCATTGGTGGGACACGAAAATGTGTCCTTGTACGATTTTATGCACGTGCCAAAGTGTCAGGCAAAACAGCACAGTGGAAGCTGAACACCAACGTGTTGGATGCCGATTTGCGGACCATTTCACACCAATCCACGGACATGATAATTGGGTGAGAGCTAATCGCCAGGCTAATCGATGCGAGAATTTCGGTTGGATGGTGTGACCTGCGAACCTTGGCGAGCGGGATATCCGATGATTTTTACAGGTTGACGTTGAGCGATTTTTTGACACTAACCAACAATGTATGCTCGTGTCAAAATCCCCAAATGACACTGGTGTCAAAACTACGAACAAGCCCTTACCACTCCAATGACAGGTGGCAATGACATATTGTGTACAGTAGTTTCCTAAAAGCCCTACCCCGAAAAGCCAGAAAGCCCCCCTCAGCCATGCCGCCATGAGCATGCTTTTCCTCCTAGGCGAATGAAACCCCTCCAACATAGCGCCGGAACATGGGGCTAGTCGTTTCGCCAGCCGATAAATCCTACAGCTTGTACCCACAGGCTTCCCATACTCACCCAAAGATATCTCACTCACCACTAACTAAAAAACTTCCCCAAAAAATGCCAAGAAGTCGCGGGCGTTTTCAGCCCGAACATGGAAAATGTCGTTTCTACTGCCCCCGTAACCTTCAGCTTCCACCCATAGGGTTCCCATCCCACACTCCACCCCCCTTCTTCCAACACTTCCATGTGGCTCGCCCCGCCTCCACTCCCTTCCCCGACATCCTGCGCAAATCTGTTCCGAGTACAACCTTCCCATCTACCACACTGGGGGCACCGGAACGCGTCGGGTGGTTCACACTGGGTGTCACTCCAACCGCCCAGTCGAACTGTTTGGTAAAGATCAGTACCACACCTCTCTGGAGCATGACGGAGGGAACTCTAAAAGCCATATGGGTTGCACTGCACTTCATCCCCTCCTCGCAAAATACACAGTGGGGCACTTGCACTAAACTGTGGGGCATTCCCCCCTCGTCCTAAAAGCTTTTCAGAATTCAGAGCTCCAATCCAGTGGCATACCCCATTGCTCCGCGTCGCACTTTCTCGTCCCGTACTAAGGCGGCTTGCTAAGCTAACAGCAGCTGTTGTTCTACTTCGGAAGCAAGTCTTTTGAGTTAGTGTGCTACTGATAGTGGTACTATCTATGCTGACACATTCGCCGATTTATTCACATTGAGTCGGAAGGATGGACGCCTCGCACCGACAACATCATTTTCGCCGACCTTCTTTTCGCGGCGCCAACAAACATCCACTTACGATTTTACTACTCACCCTCGCCGCTGCATTCTGCCTCGCCGTACCTGCGTCCTCTCGACCACATCATGACAATATGATGGTACCGACCACAAACGGAGCATCTAAAAAAATCCCAACCACTACAATTAATAATCAGGGATTATATAATTCTGGCGATGCGGACACGACAGCACAGGCCGTTCTCCTGTCCGAGCTGGTCGCGCAGAAATCGCGGGCCGTGGAAGCGAGGCGGCACGCGCTCGTGCTTCTCCGCGAATTCCGGTCGCTCAACGACAGCATCGCCGACGCCAACGGGAAGATTCAGGACGCGTTGCGCGCGCGGGAGAAACTCAAGCTGACGTCAGCGCGACTCGAGCAGCAGCGGAAAGTCATCGACGAGCTTTCAGTGATTGTAGACAACACCGCTCAGCGGATGTACGAGCGCGACTCGGAGGACGCCCGGCTGTCGCTTGTGGCAGCGGGCGAGGCGAAACTCGTGGCACAGCGGCTGTCTGCGAATCTCGCACGGAAGGTGCTGCGACTGCGCGACAAAGTGGCGTCGTACAACATCGCAGTGACGTGCCGCGACGAGATAGTTAAAGCCTGGGAGCAGCGGCTTCCGCAGGCAATGGAAGCGGAGAAACTAACCAACGCGACGCTGCGAGATTACCTTGCAGTGTTCAAACGCGCGATGAAATCCTTTCCTGAAGCGGAGCGCGCCATACTCGAAATCGTCCAAACGCCGTTCTCATCAAAGCGCCGAAATGAGACGCGCCACGGTGGCGCGGCATCGGCGCCAGTCGCGTTGAGTTCAGTCGCAGATGATGATGCAGAGAATCAGCATCATACTTCATCGCCTTCATTAAACGGACCACCTTCATTCACTCAGAAGAAGAATCGTACGGTTGGACGCCCCTGGAGCGACAAAGAAGACCCATTTCTCGCGGAAATTGAGGCGCCGCCCCATGGTGAAGGGACAGAAGCTGAACATCGCCCTGAAGATATTAAGAACTTGCAGGAGAAGCTGCGCAAGTCAAGTGAAGCCGTGGAGGAGATTGCATTGGCAGAGGCAGAGGAGGCGGTGGTTCGGGGATTGCTGGACAGCCTCCGAGCCGAATTTCAGGCTTGGAAATCTTCCGTAGCTGAAGGTCGGGCGTCAGAGGACATAAAGAATTTGAGAAGGATGCGTGAAGACCTGGAATACGCGGAAGGCGATGCAGAGTTTGCGGCTTCCCAAGTGAAGGAAGGCGAGAAAGATGTTGAGCAGGCGGAAGCTGAGCTGGCGGGCGCACGGGAAATTGCTGAGGAGCAGACAAGGATCTTGCACGAAGCGGAGGAAGATTTGCGCCGAGCCATGAGTGTTGAGGCGGCGACGCAGACCTTGAAAGCACGGATTCAGCGAGAGGAGGCTGAACGGGTGAAGGCTCAGGCGGAGAGGGTTGCAGGAGAGATGTTGCGTAAGGTGCAACTAGCTGAGGCGTTGGTTTTGGAAAGAAGGCCTGGCTTGCAAGATGCCATTGCGGAGAGGGAGAGGCTAGCAAGGAAAGTTGCAGCGTTGAAAGCTAGTGTGAAAGAGTTAGAGGAGAGGTATGGAGAGGGTGAGTCAGCGGCTAAGGAGGCTGTTAGGCTCATAAAGCTGCTCATGCCGGTTGTGACTGCTAAGTATGAGGAAGCTCGTGCTGCCAAGCAGGCGTGGGGCAGATTCTTGAGCCTCGAGAATGCCTAGGCGTTTTTGGTACCAGTAGATTGCTCAGTTGTGTCTGTCCATTTATTTATTATTTTGTTATAATAACTTAGTGACTACCTGTCCTCAAGAAGCGCACACCATGTGTAGATAGGTACAATTACAATATTTGAAGCTGACTAAAATGGGCACTAACTACACATTGAATCTAGTGTAATCCAAACCTGCAATAGAGCTACACAAGCTCCTGAGCTCCAGTGCTTCAATTCAAGCTCATAACGGCTCTTCCCTCCTGTCAACATCATCTTAAGCAGGGCAGATGAGTCCCAAACCCTAATTGTAATTGCTGGTATAAAATTTAACCGCAACATTCCACCCAGCAACTCAACCCTTAAACCCGAATACACCTCATATTTCCCACTCGCCAAGTTCGGTCCAACCAACTTACACTCACTCAGGCACATACACGCGCATGCGGTCTTACCCCTCCTTGGGCTCATATATCGACTCCATGGGTTTTCTGGTCTGGGGCATCGAAAGCACCTCCCCAGACACTATGGGAGGCATGGAGCGATCAATGGGGGTGAAAGTAACTGCTGGCTTCGCAGGAGGAGCAGGAGGCTCGCCAGTTTTGGTATCCTTGCCTTTTTTTTCATCTGCCGAGATGCTGATTGCGCAGCCCATGGCTAAGGTGGTGGTTTGCTAGGGGAGAAGTTGGGGGCAGCTGAACGGGCAGATGGAAATCTGAGTAGAGTGAGGTGAGGGGCAGAGAACGGGAGTGAGGAGGCCTGGGGAGAGAGTCCGTGGTGATGCTGGTGCAACGTTGATGGGAGGCTGTGGCCTTGCTCAGTGGAGTGTGCTGGTGCAAGAATGGTTCAGATGGGTACGTTGGATGAGGCGATGCGGTGATTCGTGGTTGGGTGTGGTTTAGAGGAAAGAGGAGCTCGTTAGCAGTAGTTGGTGGTTGGTCGAAGAGGCCATCTGAAAAGAGATGGGGTTCAGAGAAGAGGAGAACGGGAAAACAGAGGGCGGGAGGGGAGAAGAAAGCAAAGAGAAAGAAGAAAGGAAACGAGAGCAGGTCAATTAGAAAGATGCGATGAGATCTTTCTGCCGGTCAAGGAAACGAAACAACAGAAGGGCGATACAGGCGGCCGGGGAAGGACCACCAAGGGCACCAGCTGTGGGGGAACAGGCGGTGGGGGGATGAGCTGTGGCTGAATGGGCTGTGGGTGGACGGGTGGCGGGGTTTTGAGATGGGCGGTGAGGAGTGGGGAGAAGGTGAGATGTCTCCAGTACACCGCTCCACAGACGATTGAAAAGGGACAAATTAAAAAGCAGGGACAGGATTCGTTGAGTATTTGTGAGCGAGAAGAATAGTAGCACGATTCCATTAAACTGTCATACTAGTCGATGGACAGATGGGGAGTAATGGCGGAAAGTGGGAGGGAATGCATAAATCATCGTGAGAAAGAGGGGGGACTGACATTTCCGAGTGGGCTCAATACCCCAGGCGGATGGGCGGAAGAGGAAAGAGGGGAGGAATGGGAAGGAAGGAGCGGATAGGAATGGGGGAGCGGAGAGATGAGGGGAGAAGACGGAAGGAGGGAAGAGGAGGAAAAGAGTGGAGAGCGGGAAGAAGGAAGGAGAGAAGAGGAGGGCAGGAGGTGAGTGGACGGAAGCAGGGAATGGGATGGGAGGACGGGAAGAGTTGAAATGAGGAAGAGGAAGAAGGGGAGAGAGAGGATGGGAGGAGGTAAGAGGAGGGACGGAGGGAAGCAAATGGGAGGAGAGAGTAACTGGGAGGACGGGAGCGGAGAGATGGGAGAGGAGCGATGGCGGGGGGTGGAAGGAAAGAGGGGAGACATCTAGAGGAGGGGAGAGGGAAGGAGGGAGAAGATAAGACGAGGTGAGAGGAGTGAAGGAGATGGGTGCGACAGGACAGAAAAGAGGGATGGAGAAAGACCGAAGGGAGAGAACGGGAAGAGGGGAAGGCGAGGAGGGAAGAGGGCAAGAGGAGTAACGGAGGAAACTTTTGAGGCGCCTCAAGAGGAGTAACGGAGAAAGGGGGGAAGGGAGGGCGGGAGTGGAGAAATGGAGAGCGACTGAGGGCGCGGGAATACAGGAGGGTTAATGCGGGAAAAAGAACGGGGGGAGGCCCATACGCAGACTGGCGTGTATAATTCGGGGAAAGACTTTCGAAGAACAGAAGCACGATAAATGGAAATCACTTTTGAGAATTCTCAAAAGGGAAAGACTTTCAAAGAATAGAAGCACGATAAAGCTATGGGAAGTGCGTCAGTTAGGGGTTTGGAAGAAGAAAAGCCATCAAGGGGACTCGAGGGCCAAATGAGATTGCAAATGTAGCTGGGTACTCGCGCGTCCTGGTCCGATGCGACCGCAGCACTCCGGGCGACAGAAATCGACCGTGCGACAGGATTGGACAAGCGACAGTAGGATGCCACTCGCGAGTGCAATGCAGCTGGATGTCTCGCAAGGTCAACCACGTCGTACAGTAAAAATCGTTTTGGAGAAGCTCCTAAGACCCTTAGGTTTACCTTGCAACGCAAAAACACTTCGTCCTGCTACAAGACACGTGGCAAGGGAGAAGCTCCTAATACCGAAAGAATCGTTATACAGCCAAGCATGTGTTTACATCAGCCCAACGTGACAAAAACGACTGTAGGATGTTTGTATGAAGGAGTGCGAGAGATTAGTGCATCGAAATAATGGGAAAGACGAAAAAAAAGACCCTTTTTTCCATCAACGTGCTCTTATTCTTCGAAATTATATTTCGTACTTTGTATCTCGAAAACTAGATATGGAAAGCAAAGGCGGCCAGAAGGGTACCTGTGAAGGGTCGAAGGTGTCAATGGCTCACGCCCGCGATGTCCATGCCGCTGGGCGAAGAACACGAAGAAACGGAAGTGGTAACTGCGTAGCCCGACCTAACAAGTAGCGACGATGATGGCGACGACGCACTCTATAAAGCGAAGCCGAATAAATGAAGGTCGGTTTTTCGAAAGCTGATGCTTGAGGATGCCACTCTAGCGCTAGTGTCGACCGGCAAGTATAGATACGTAAAGACCGCACTATTGAAGAAATGCATGCGAAACCGAAAGCGGGAAGTCGAGTCTGGATGATGAAAGACGCGTAGAAACCAGAACTAGGAAAGAACACGTAGAACGCAAATATGAGTCAACCATTTGAATATTAGGGTTCCTCTCTGTCACAGCCTTGCTGCTTCACGATTATAGCTAGACAGCCAACTTCCCCATAACGAGAGGTACCGTTCTGGAAACTAGTGGTACCGCACTCAATACATCACGACCCGTCGTGTTCTGCTCCCCGGTGGGGGCGGTGATGGTGGCTTGGGGAGGAGGTGGTCAGGTGAGATGTGGCAATCCCGAGGGAGCGGAAACAGTGGTGATGCTGATGCGTGAAAGCAAAAAGATGACGAGGACAGGGACGGGATATTTCTTGGTCACTCTTTTGGGCAGTGTGGCCGGCAATACTTATCGTGCGCTGTGCTGTGTTCTGTACAACTTTGCTAAGCAAGGCGGAGATGGCTCTAGTGGCAAACAATTTCGGGCAGGCACATGGCCGGAGTTACGAAAAAACAGGAAAATGACGAGGCGCATTGGTCACTGCAGGGAAAATGTGCACCACGACTGAAGCTGATGACGAGGAAGGAACGAGTCAGCAGGCCCCTTCCAGAAAGAAACGCTTCCGCGTTATCGTTTGAAGCAGACCCAATAGAGTTTAAGAGTAATGTACTCCACAATCAGCCAAGAAATGTAGGCAGAACTTGGAAACGTAGTCACAAGCATTAGGAGGAATGTCCAAAGGATAATCTGCTCTTGAAAATGTAGCCACATGGAAAGGCTTGAAATAAAGGCTTCCTCAATGCGTGAAAAGCTGCTCGTTGCGACGGGGCCTGTCAGGAATGGAACCTACAAGAAGCAAAGCACACACCACATTGGAGAAAGTACAACAGATTCAATGTAGGAGCCACATGTACTTGTTGCACTTGGAAGCATCACTTTAAAAGTTCACAGTGACAGAAGGGAATCCTAACGGGGAGCAGGGAGAAGGGAGAGGTACGGTAGGTAAGGTTCGAGCCTTACCTGGTTTGAATTTGGCAGCTTCATGCCGGGCGAGCTCAGGGGGTACGGCACAGCCACTCTGGGTAAGCATCTGCGATTGGCGGGGAAGGGAGGAGGAGGGGGGGGGGGGGGGAGGGAGGGTGTGAGAGTGTGAAAGAGGGGAGAGTGGGAAGAGGGAGAAGAGCGGACTTGTTGGTTCTAGAAGAGTGTGGAAGAGGGGAAGAGGGGAAAGGAGAGGAGGCCTGCTTGCGGTTGTATAGAAGTGAAGAAGAGAAGAGGAGGGGAGGAAGGGAGAGAAAAGAGGAGCCTGAAAAGGGGGACAGGCCTGACTGACGTCGTAAGTGTGAACAAGAAGGGGAGGGGAGGAGTGGGAGAGAAAAGAGGAATGTTAAAGAACGGTGGGAAACAGGCCTGCTTTAGGTCGTAACGGTGGTCCAAGTCATGCAGTGTGAGAAGGAGAGCGGAGAGCGTGGAGAAGGGAAAGCGTGGAGAAGGGAAAGCGTGGAGAAGGGAAAGCGTGGAGAAGGGGTGAATGAGGAGCGCACCTGCTTGAGGCCATAGAAGAGGTCCGAGTCATGCAGTGTGAGAGGGAGGGGGGGGAGTGGGGGGGAACAGGGGAGAGTGGTCTCACAAGCCAACAGCGCACCTGCTTGAGGTCGTAAAAGAGGTCCGAGTCATGCAGCGTGAGGAAGGTGAGGAAGGTGAGGAGGGTGAGGAAGGTGAGGAGGGTGAGGAAGGTGAGGAGGGTGAGGAAGGTGAGGAGGGTGAGGGGAGAGCGGAGTACCTTGAGAGCAGGGGGAGCGAAGAGCTCACCTGCTTGAGGTCGTAGAAGAGGTCCGAGTCATGCAGCGTCAGGAAGGTGGTCGCCACACCTGTCTTGCCCGCACGCCCCGTTCGCCCTGCAGTGCACAGCAGGTTGAGGAGACGTGGGGTTGGAGGGCAGGGGGAAAGGAAGGGAGGGGGAGAAAGGAGAGGGGAACAGTTGGTAGGGAGGAGAGGGGAACAGTTGGCAGGGAGGAGAGAGGAACAGTTGGCAGGGAGGAGAGGGAGGTTCAAGGCAGGTTGAGTAGATGAGGGGTTGGAAAGAGAGGGGGTGGGAGAAGGAAAGGATTGGCGGATAGGAGAGGGAGGTTTAGGAGATCCAAGGGAATGGAAGGGCGAGAAATGGTGCGACGGAATATGGCAATGAGAGGCACAGGGGGATCGTACCGATACGATGAGTGTACATCTCAATGTTGCCTGGCATGTCGAAGTTGATGACATGTGCCACGTCCTGATTGGATGGGGGGCAGAGGGAAGGAGGATTGAGGGTTGATGAGTCAGCACAAAGGCTCATGCAATCACTTCCTCCCTCATAAGTTATAACTCACTCACTCACTGAATCTCTTTACCACTTATTCATCCACTCCCTCTTTCACTCACTAGATCACACACTCCCTTACTCAATCGCTCACCCACTCACTCACCCACTCACTGACTCACTCACTGACAACATCAATAGAATCAGTTCCTTAACCGGCACTGGGAAGAAATGACTGGTGCTGGAGCTGTCATCAACTACTATGGTGATATTTATGCCGATTGATGCTCACCGGGATATCGATACCACGGCCCGCCACATCTGTTGCCACCAGCACGTTGAACTTCTTGGTGCGAAAGCCCTCCAGGCTGACCTCCCGCTGCTCCTGTGTCTTGCCTCCGTGCAGCGTTGTCACGTTGAACCCCATCCTGTCGATCTGCACGCATGGGAATGCATATGAAGCAAGGGAGCAAGCACACACAGTTGGGATCAGCAGACAGAAGCCCTCCAGGCTGACCTCTCGTTGTCATGTTGAACCCCATCCTGTCGATCTGCAGGCACGTTAAATACCAGGCCAGGCAATTGGCAGGCATACATAAAGAAGCACTCTTGTTGGTACAACATGTATGGTCTCTTCGGCATTGACAAACAAAATGACCCTCCTCTCACACACACACCTCTTTGTTTCCACCCACCTGCTTGGCAACCCCATCAGCCGTCTTCTTGGTGTTGACAAACACAATCACAGTGCGGTCCTCCCCAACACCCTCCAGAATGCGCTGCAAGCGGGAAATCTTCTCAGAATCTTTCACCATGAACACGTTTTGCGTAATCAGGTCCGTTGCCTTGCCCGCTGTGCCAATGGTTACCTGCACGGGAATAAAAGGGAGATGGAAAGAGAAAGAGACACGATGGGAAGGGATCTTCTCCGAGTCCTTCACCATAAACACGTTCTGAGTGATGAGGTCCGTTGCTTTGCCTGCCGTGCCAATGGTTACCTGCATGCACAGCGTGGAACGGGCACGAAGGAAAGGAGGGGGCAGGGAACATGGGAAGAGAAGATACCGAACAGGGAAAGCAGGGAACATGGGAAGAGAAGATACTGAACAGGGAAAGCAGGGAACATGGGAAGAGAAGATACCGAACAGGGAAAGCAGGGAACATGGGAAGAGAAGATACCAAACAGGGAAAGCAGGGAACATGGGAAGAGAAGATACCGAACAGGGAAAGCAGGGAACATGGGAAGAGAAGATACCGAACAGGGAAAGCAGGGAACATGGGAAGAGAAGATACCGAACAGGGAAAGCAGGGAACATGGGAAGAGAAGATACCGAACAGGGAAAGCAGGGAACATGGGAAGAGAAGATACCGAACAGGGAAAGCAGGGAACATGGGAAGAGAAGATACCGAACAGGGAAAGCAGGGAACATGGGAAGAGAAGATACCGAACAGGGAAAGCAGGGAACATGGGAAGAGAAGATACCGAACAGGGAAAGCAGGGAACATGGGAAGAGAAGATACCGAACAGGGAAAGCAGGGAACATGGGAAGAGAAGATACCGAACAGGGAAAGCAGGGAACATGGGAAGAGAAGATACCCAACAGGGAAAGCAGGGAACATGGGAAGAGAAGATACCGAACAGGGAAAGCAGGGAACATGGGAAGAGAAGATACCGAACAGGGAAAGCAGGGAACATGGGAAGAGAAGATACCGAACAGGGAACACAAGGGGCACAGGGAGCAGTTGCAGAGAGCAGTTGCAGGGAGCAGCGGGAGCAGAGAGAGAAGCAAGGAGCAGAGAGAGGCACATACCACGACAGGGTTGCGGAGGTATTTGCGTGCCAGCCTCTCGACACTTGGAGGCATAGTAGCAGAGAACATGTAGGTCACGCGGTAGATGCGGGAGGCGTCCAGCTCTGCATCCTCGCTGTCCGGCTTGAGGAATGATGTATTCATGGCTTCTAGCACTCCTGTTACCTGGGGATGAGTGACGGGGCGCAGGGGTTGGGGAAGGGGGAGAAAGGGCAGTGAGTGATGAGTCACAAGGCGTCCAGCATCCTTGCTGTAGGGCTTGAGAAACGACGTGTTCATGGCCTCTAGCACTCCTGTCTCCTGTGGACCACGGGGAGGGGAGGTGATGGGGGAGGAGGGGGAAAACAGAGGCGAAATGGGCGTGAGAGGGAATAAAACGGAAGGGGAGGAAGGGGGCCGGAGAGGACGGGAAGAGGGGAATGCGGAGGACAGAAAAGGAGAGGAGAGAGGGCCATGTTGATTGCGTGATCGACCTTAGAGCTCATGCGAGGGAAACGTGCTCTGATGGGTAAGATGAGATGAAGATCATGCATCGTTCCTGAGGTTCAAAGCCCATGCCAATTTGCAATCACCCTCCTGCAGCTCCGTGTAGTTGCAGCATCATATGGGCCTGTAGTTGCACTGGTTCAACACCTTAAGGGCCCATATGATGAGGAGCAGTCGCATGAGGGCGAGAGGTGTTGTGAGGGGTAATAGAGTGATGGGAGGGGTGGGGTCATGTAAAGAATAGGCATGCATACCTGAGGTTCGAAGCCCATGTCGATCATACGATCAGCCTCATCCAGCACCACATAGTTGCACTGGTTCAGCACCATGTGAGGGATAGGTGTTGTGGTACGGTAGGCACATGAGGTAACTTATTATGCATCATACCTGCGGTTCAAAGCCCATGTCAATCATACGATCAGCCTCATCCAGCACCACATAGTTGCACTGGTTCAGCACAGCATAGCGCCTCTCCAAGCAGTCCAGCAGCCGGCCCGGCGTGGCAATGACGATCTCGCAACCCTGAATGAAATGGGTGGTGACAGGAGGGAGGCGTGGGAAAAGAGAAAGAGCGGGCTGTGTGAGCATGGCGCACTGGTTAGTTAGTGTTGCACTGGTTCAGCATGGCATAGCGCCGCTCCAAGCAGTCCAGCAGCCTTCCCGGTGTGGTGATCACGATCTCACAGCCCTGAGAGACAGAGCGAGTGGGGTTTAGGGGGACGGGAGATGGCAGGTTGGGGACGGAGGGAAGTGCAGTTCCTGTGGCGTGTTGCAGTGGTTGGTTCAGCACGGCATACCGCCACTTCAAGCAGTCCAGCAGTCACCCTGGCGTGGCAATCACAAGCTCACAGCCCTGAGAGACAGGGGTAGTGGGCATTGGGAGGGGGGAGGGGGGGAAAGGGGGGTTCGGGAAGGATGAAAGAGCAGTGGCTGTGTGCTTGTTGCACTGGTTCAGCACCGCATAGCGCCGCTTCAAGCAGTCCAGCAGCACGGCATACCCTGGCGTAGCAATCACGTTCTTGCAGCCCTGAGGGACAGGCAGAGAATGGTGTGGAAGTGGGAGGGGGAGAGAGCAGATGAAGAGACGCATGTGAGTGGGTATAATCCCCATGACCTTTTCTTCTTCACCTGGCGCAGCTTGAAGCCTCGCTCCTCAATGAATTGGCCTCCCACTGATCGAGCACATGAGTGCAACTAGGCGATCTTGAGCAGACTCTAAAAAGAAAAAAAGAAGCAGAAAACGTGTTGACCCACTCACTCACCTGTCTCAGCTTGAAGCCTTGCTCCTCAATGGACTGGCCTCCCACAATCGACACCACCCGGAGATTCTGCAGCAGAGGAAGAAAGGTGAGAAAAGGGAAGACAGCGGAGTGTCACAGTGAGTGAACGCGAGGCGAGAGGAGAAGAAGGTTGTTGAGAAGCTCGTTATGAACCGGAGAATGCCAACATTTGTGGGGAATGGGTGAAATGCAAAGAGGAAATTATGCACAACGCCTTGCTCCCACACTCAACATGGCTGTGAAAGAGGCTGAGTTAAACCTTGAAACATCAAAACGGCAAACAATGCACCATGAATTGAGCGAACTTGACAGTCTCCTCTTCGATCTGCTGCGCCAGCTCCCTGGTGGGGCCATCACCACTGCGTACGGGCCCTCAGCCTCGTTGGCAGCTATTACCTTATCAGTGACACACAACAACATCATGCCTCAAATCAAACCAAACACACCATAAACTGCGCGAACTTGACCGTCTCCTCTTCGATCTGCTGCACCAGCTCCCTGGTGGGCGCCATGACCACCGCATACGGCCCCTCAACCTCGTTGGTTGCAATCAATCACCTCAGAGGTACCACGAGGACACTACACCAACAACAACGCACCATGAACTGGGCGAATTTCACAGTTTCCTCCTCGATCTGCTGCGCCAGCTCTCTGGTGGGCGCCATGACCACAGCGTAGGGCCCCTCGGCCTCGTTGGCCTCGGTCATGGGCGGCAGCTTGGAGATGTACGTCAGCATTGGAAGGACAAACGCGCATGTCTTGCCGGAACCTAAGGGAAGGGAGGGGCAGGGAGAAGGGAGGGGCAGGGAGAAGGGAGGGGCAGGGAGAAGGGAGGGGCAGGCAGGCAAAGGGATATGTGAGGAGAGGGCCCCTCGGCCTCGTTGGCCTCTGTCATGGGCGGCAGCTTGGAGATGTACGTCAGCATGGGCAGCACAAACGCACATGTCTTGCCGGAACCTGGGTGGGTGGAGGGAGGCAGGGTGGGTTGTGTGAGTGTGTGAGGGAGGCTGGCAGGGGGGTGTGTGGGGGAGAGGCCCCCTCAGCCTCATTGGCCTCGTTGGCCTCATTGGCCTCTGTCATGGGTGGCAGCTTTGAGATGTAAGTCAGCATGGGCAGCACAAACGCACATGTCTTGCCGGTGTGGTGTGTGCATGTGTAGATCAAGGGGTAAGTGTAGTACCCGCAGTAGTACCAGCACAGGGATAAGTATGCTACACTGACCCATCCCCTCTGAAATCCATACCAGTCTCGGCGACGCCAATCACGTCGCGCTGCTGCAACCCAATGGGCAGGGCAGCCATCTGGATGGGCGACGGCTTGGTGTAGCCAATCTCCTTCACATCACAGCACAGAGTAGCTCCTTCACCCATGCTTGGTGGGCATGGGTGTGTACAAGTGTGTACCCACCCATGTGTTGCATCACTTACCGGTCTCAGCAATGCCAATGACGTCTCGTTGCTGCAGCCCGATGGGAAGGGCAGCCATCTGGATGGGCGAAGGCTTGGTGTAGCCAATCTCCTTAACGGCCCGCAGCAGCTCGGGTGACAGCCCACTCTCCTCCCAGTTGCGCATGGGGCGCGGTACCTTGGAGCCCTGCGGAGTGGGGGAGTTGGAGGGGCGGGGAAGAATGAAGAGGGGAAGGGGAGCGGAGGAGGTCTGAGGGGCTGAAGAGCACGGAGCAGTTGTACCCGGAAATGGAGAGGAGAAGGAGCAGCACTGGAGCCCTGACAAGTTGTAGAAGACACAACAGGCACAGGCACAGGCACAGGGACAGGCACAGGCACAGGCACAGGGACAGGCACAGGCACAGGCACAGGGACAGGCACAGGCACAGGCACAGGCACAGGCACAGGCACAGGCACAGGCACAGGCACAGGCACAGGCACAGGCACAGGGACAGGGACAGGCACAGGGACAGGCACAGGGACAGGGACAGGGACAGGGACAGGGACAGGGACAGGGACAGGGACAGGGACAGGGACAGGGACAGGGACAGGGACAGGGACAGGGACAGGGACAGGGACAGGGACAGGGACAGGGACAGGGACAGGGACAGGGACAGGGACAGGGACAGGGACAGGGACAGGGACAGGGACAGGGACAGGGACAGGGACAGGGGCACAGCGACAGGGACAGGGACAGGGGCATAGGGACAGGGACAGGGACACAGGACAGGGACACAGGGACAGGGACAGGGACAGGGACAGGGACAGGGACAGGGACAGGGACAGGGACAGGGACAGGGACAGGGACAGGGACAGGGACAGGGACAGGGACAGGGACAGGGACAGGGACAGGGACAGGGACAGGGACACAGCGACAGAGACAGGGACAAGGACAGGGACAGGGACACAGGGACAGGGACACAGGGACAGGGACGGGGACACAGGGACAAGGACACAGGGACAGGGACAGGGACAGGGACAGGGACAGGGACAGGGACAGGGACAGGGACAGGGACAGGGACAGGGACAGGGACAGGGACAGGGACAGGGACAGGGACAGGGACAGGGACAGGGACAGGGACAGGGACAGGGACAGGGACAGGGACAGGGACAGGGACAGGGACAGGGACAGGGACAGGGACAGGGACAGGGACAGGGACAGGGACACAGCGACAGAGACAGGGACAAGCACAGGGACAGGGACACAGGGACAGGAACACAGGGACAGGGACAGGGACAGGGACAGGGACAGGGACAGGGACAGGGACAGGGACAGGGACAGGGACAGGGACAGGGACAGGGACAGGGACAGGGACAGGGACAGGGACAGGGACAGGGACAGGGACAGGGACAGGGACAGGGACAGGGACAGGGACAGGGACAGGGACAGGGACAGGGACAGGGACAGGGACAGGGACAGGGACAGGGACAGGGACAGGGACAGGGACAGGGACAGGGACAGGGACAGGGACAGGGACAGGGACAGGGACAGGGACAGGGACAGGGACAGGGACAGGGACAGGGACAGGGACAGGGACAGGGACAGGGACAGGGACAGGGACAGGGACAGGGACAGGGACAGGGACAGGGACAGGGACAGGGACAGGGACAGGGACAGGGACAGGGACAGGGACAGGGACAGGGACAGGGACAGGGACAGGGACAGGGACAGGGACAGGGACAGGGACAGGGACAGGGACAGGGACAGGGACAGGGACAGGGACAGGGACAGGGACAGGGACAGGGACAGGGACAGGGACAGGGACAGGGACAGGGACAGGGACAGGGACACAGCGCCAGAGACAGGGACAAGCACAGGGACAGGGACACAGGGACAGGAACACAGGGACAGGGACAGGGACAGGGACAGGGACAGGGACAGGGACAGGGACAGGGACAGGGACAGGGACAGGGACAGGGACAGGGACAGGGACAGGGACAGGGACAGGGACAGGGACAGGGACAGGGACAGGGACAGGGACAGGGACAGGGACAGGGACAGGGACAGGGACAGGGACAGGGACAGGGACAGGGACAGGGACAGGGACAGGGACAGGGACAGGGACAGGGACAGGGACAGGGACAGGGACAGGGACAGGGACAGGGACAGGGACAGGGACAGGGACAGGGACAGGGACAGGGACAGGGACAGGGACAGGGACAGGGACAGGGACAGGGACAGGGACAGGGACAGGGACAGGGACAGGGACAGGGACAGGGACAGGGACAGGGACAGGGACAGGGACAGGGACAGGGACAGGGACAGGGACAGGGACAGGGACAGGGACAGGGACAGGGACAGGGACAGGGACAGGGACAGGGACAGGGACAGGGACAGGGACAGGGACAGGGACAGGGACAGGGACAGGGACAGGGACAGGGACAGGGACAGGGACAGGGACAGGGACAGGGACAGGGACAGGGACAGGGACAGGGACAGGGACAGGGACAGGGACAGGGACAGGGACAGGGACAGGGACAGGGACAGGGACAGGGACAGGGACAGGGACAGGGACAGGGACAGGGACAGGGACAGGGACAGGGACAGGGACAGGGACAGGGACAGGGACAGGGACAGGGACAGGGACAGGGACAGGGACAGGGACAGGGACAGGGACAGGGACAGGGACAGGGACAGGGACAGGGACAGGGACAGGGACAGGGACAGGGACAGGGACAGGGACAGGGACAGGGACAGGGACAGGGACAGGGACAGGGACAGGGACAGGGACAGGGACAGGGACAGGGACAGGGACAGGGACAGGGACAGGGACAGGGACAGGGACAGGGACAGGGACAGGGACAGGGACAGGGACAGGGACAGGGACAGGGACAGGGACAGGGACAGGGACAGGGACAGGGACAGGGACAGGGACAGGGACAGGGACAGGGACAGGGACAGGGACAGGGACAGGGACAGGGACAGGGACAGGGACAGGGACAGGGACAGGGACAGGGACAGGGACAGGGACAGGGACAGGGACAGGGACAGGGACAGGGACAGGGACAGGGACAGGGACAGGGACAGGGACAGGGACAGGGACAGGGACAGGGACAGAAACAGGGACACAGGGACAGGGACACTGGGACAGGGACAGGGACACAGGGACAGGGACAGGGACAGGGACAGGGACAGGGACAGGGACAGGGACACAGATACAGGGACAGGGACAGGGACAGGGACAGGGACAGGGACAGGGACAGGGACAGAGACACAGGGACAAGGACACAGGGACAGGGACAGGGACACAGGGACAGGGACAAAGGGACAGGGACAGGGAAAGGGACAGGGACAGGGAAAGGGACAGGGACAGGGACAGGGACAGGGACAGGGACAGGGACAGGGACAGGGACAGGGACAGGGACAGGGACAGGGACACAGAGACAAGGGCACAGGGACAGGGACAGGGACAGGGACAGGGACAGGGATAGGGGCACAGCGACAGGGACAGGGACAGGGGCACAGGGACAGGACAGGGACAGGGACACAGGGACAGGGACACAGGGACAGGGACACATAGACAGGGACACAGGGACAGGGACACAGCGACAGACACAGGGACAGGGACAGGGGAAGGGACAGGAACACAGGGACAGGGAAAGGAACAGGGACAGGGACAGGGACAGGGACAGGGACAGGGACAGGGACAGGGACAGGGACAGGGACAGGGACAGGGACAGGGACAGGGACAGGGACAGGGACAGGGACAGGGACAGGGACACAGCGACAGAGACAGGGACAAGGACAGGGACAGGGACACAGGGACAGGGACACAGGGACAGGGACGGGGACACAGGGACAAGGACACAGGGACAGGGACAGGGAAAGGGACAGGGACAGGGACAGGGACAGGGACAGGGACAGGGACAGGGACAGGGACAGGGACAGGGACAGGGACAGGGACAGGGACAGGGACAGGGACAGGGACAGGGACAGGGACAGGGACAGGGACAGGGACAGGGACAGGGACAGGGACAGGGACAGGGACAGGGACAGGGACAGGGACAGGGACAGGGACAGGGACAGGGACAAGGGACACAGGGACAAGGACACAGGGACAAGGACACAGGGACAGGGACAAGGACAGGGACAGGGACAGGGACAGGGACAGGGACAGGGACAGGGACAGGGACAAAGACAGGGACACAGGGACAGGGACAGGGACAGGGACAGGGACAGGGACAGGGACAGGGACAGGGACAGGGACAGGGACAGGGACAGGGACAGGGACAGGGACAGGGACAGGGACGGGGACACAGGGACAAGGACACAGGGACAGGGACAGGGACACAGGGACACAGGGACAGGGACAGGGACAAGGACACAGGGAGAGGGACAGGGACAGGGACAGGGACAGGGACAGGGACAGGGACAGGGACAGGGACAGGGACAGGGACAGGGACAGGGACACAGTGACAGGGACAGGGACAGGAACAGGGACAGGAACAGGGACAGGGACACAGGGACATAGGGACAGGGACACAGGGACAGGGGCACAGGGACAGTGACAGGGGCACAGGAACAGGAATAGGGACAGGGACACAGGGACAGGGACCTGCACAGGAACAGGGACAGGGACAGGAACACATGGACAGGGGCACAGGGACAGGGACAGGGACACAGGGACAGGGACAGGGACAGGGACAGGGACAGGGACAGGGACAGGGACAGGGACAGGGACAGGGACAGGGACAGGGACAGGGACAGGGACAGGGACAGGGACAGGGACAGGGACAGGGACAGGGACAGGGACAGGGACAGGGACAGGGACAGGGACAGGGACAGGGACAGGGACAGGGACAGGGACAGGGACAGGGACAGGGACAGGGACAGGGACAGGGACAGGGACAGGGACAGGGACAGGGACAGGGACAGGGACAGGGACAGGGACAGGGACAGGGACAGGGACAGGGACAGGGACAGGGACAGGGACAGGGACAGGGACAGGGACAGGGACAGGGACAGGGACAGGGACAGGGACAGGGACAGGGACAGGGACAGGGACAAGGGACACAGGGACAAGGACACAGGGACAAGGACACAGGGACAGGGACAAGGACAGGGACAGGGACAGGGACAGGGACAGGGACAGGGACAGGGACAGGGACATAGACAGGGACACAGGGACAGGGACACAGGGACAGGGACAGGGACAGGGACAGGGACAGGGACAGGGACAGGGACAGGGACAGGGACAGGGACACAGCGACAGAGACAGGGACAAGGACAGGGACAGGGACACAGGGACAGGGACACAGGGACAGGGACGGGGACACAGGGACAAGGACACAGGGACAGGGACAGGGAAAGGGACAGGGACAGGGACAGGGACAGGGACAGGGACAGGGACAGGGACAGGGACAGGGACAGGGACAGGGACAGGGACAGGGACAGGGACAGGGACAGGGACGGGGACACAGGGACAAGGACACAGGGACAGGGACAGGGACAGGGACAGGGACAGGGACAGGGACAGGGACAAGGACACAGGGAGAGGGAGAGGGACAGGGACAGGGACAGGGACAGGGACAGGGACAGGGACAGGGACAGGGACAGGGACAGGGACAGGGACAGGGACAGGGACACAGTGACAGGGACAGGGACAGGAACAGGGACACAGGGACAGGGACAGGAACAGGGACAGGAACAGGGACAGGGACACAGGGACATAGGGACAGGGACACAGGGACAGGGGCACAGGGACAGTGACAGGGGCACAGGAACAGGGACAGGGGCACAGGAACAGGGACAGGGGCACAGGAACAGGGACAGGGGCACAGGAACAGGGACAGGGGCACAGGAACAGGGACAGGGACACAGGGACAGGGACAGGGACAGGGACAGGGACCTGCACAGGAACAGGGACAGGGACACAGGGACAGGGGCATAGGGACAGGGACAGGGGCACAGGGACAGGGACAGGGACAAGGACAGGGACAGGGACAGGGACAGGGACAGGGACAGGGACAGGGACAGGGACAGGGACAGGGACAGGGACACATGGACAGGGACACAGGGACAGGGACAGGGACAGGGACAGGGACAGGGACAGGGACAGGGACAGGGACAGGGACAGGGACAGGGACAGGGACAGAGACCGGGACAGGGACAGGGACAGGGACAGGGACAGGGACAGGGACAGGGACAGGGACAGGGACAGGGACAGGGACAGGGACAGGGACAGGGACAGGGACAGGGACAGGGACAGGGACAGGGACAGGGACAAAGACAGGGATAGGCACAGGGACAGGGACAGGGAAACAGGGACAGGAAAAGGGACAGGGACAGGGACAGGGACAGGGACAGGGACAGGGACAGGGACAGGGACAGGGACAGGGACAGAAACAGGGACACAGGGACAGGGACAGGGACAGGGACAGGGACAGGGACAGGGACAGAGACCGGGACAGGGACAGGGACAGGGACAGGGACAGGGACAGGGACAGGGACAGGGACAGGGACAGGGACAGGGACAGGGACAGGGACAGGGACAGAGACCGGGACAGGGACAGGGACAGGGACAGGGACAGGGACAGGGACACAGATACAGGGACAGGGACAGGGACAGGGACAGGGACAGAGACACAGGGACAAGGACACAGGGACAGGGACACAGGGACAGGGACACAGGGACAGGGACAGGGACAGGGACAGGGACAGGGACAGGGACAGGGACAGGGACAGGGACAGGGACAGGGACAGGGACAGGGACAGGGACAGGGACAGGGACAGGGACAGGGACACAGAGACAAGGGCACAGGGACAGGGACAGGGACAGGGACAGGGACAGGGACAGGGGCACAGCGACAGGGACAGGGACAGGGACAGGGACAGGGACAGGGACAGGGACAGGGACAGGGACAGGGACAGGGACAGGGACACATAGACAGGGACACAGGGACACAGGGACAGGGACAGGGACAGGGACAGGGACACAGCAACAGAGACAGGGACAGGGACAGGGACAGGGACAGGGACAGAGACACAGGGACAAGGACACAGGGACAGGGACACAGGGACAGGGACACAGGGACAGGGACAGGGACAGGGACAGGGACAGGGACAGGGACAGGGACAGGGACAGGGACAGGGACAGGGACAGGGACAGGGACAGGGACAGGGACAGGGACAGGGACAGGGACAGGGACAGGGACAGGGACACAGAGACAAGGGCACAGGGACAGGGACAGGGACAGGGACAGGGACAGGGACAGGGGCACAGCGACAGGGACAGGGACAGGGACACAGGGACAGGGACAGGGACACAGGGACAGGGACACAGGGACAGGGACACATAGACAGGGACACAGGGACACAGGGACAGGGACAGGGACAGGGACAGGGACACAGCAACAGAGACAGGGACAGGGACAGGGGAAGGGACAGGGACACAGGGACAGGGACAGGGACAGGGACAGGGACAGGGACAGGGACAGGGACAGGGACATTGACAGGGACAGGGACAGGGACAGGGACAGGGACAGGGACACAGCGACAGAGACAGGGACAAGGACAGGGACAGGGACACAGGGACAGGGACACAGGGACAAGGACACAGGGACAGGGACAGGGACAGGGACAGGGACAGGGACAGGGACAGGGACAGGGACAGGGACAGGGACAGGGACAGGGACAGGGACAGGGACAGGGACAGGGACAGGGACAGGGACAGGGACAGGGACAGGGACAGGGACAGGGACAGGGACAGGGACAGGGACAGGGACAGGGACAGGGACAGGGACAGGGACAGGGACAGGGACAGGGACAGGGACAGGGACAGGGACAGGGACAGGGACAGGGACAGGGACAGGGACAGGGACAGGGACAGGGACAGGGACAGGGACAGGGACAGGGACAGGGACAGGGACAGGGACAGGGACAGGGACAGGGACAGGGACAGGGACAGGGACAGGGACATTGACAGGGACAGGGACAGGGACAGGGACAGGGACAGGGACAGGAACACAGGGACAGGGACACAGGGACAGGGACAGGGACAGGGACAGGGACAGGGACAGGGACAGGGACAGGGACAGGGACAGGAACACAGGGACAAGGACACAGGGACAGGGACACAGGGACAGGGACACATGGACAGGGACAGGGACAGGGACAGGGACAGGGACAGGGACAGGAACACAGGGACAGGGACAGGGACAGGGACAGGGACAGGGACAGGGACAGGGACAGGGACAGGGACAGGGACAGGGACAGGGACAGGGACAGGGACAGGGACAGGGACAGGGACAGGGACAGGGACAGGGACAGGGACAGGGACAGGGACAGGGACAGGGACAGGGACAGGGACAGGGACAGGGACAGGGACAGGGACAGGGACAGGGACAGGGACAGGGACAGGGACAGGGACAGGGACAGGGACAGGGACAGGGACAGGGACAGGGACAGGGACAGGGACAGGGACAAGGACGCAGGGACAGGGACACAGGGACAGGGACACAGGGACAGGGACAGGGACACAGGGACACAGGGACAGGGACAGGGACAGGGACAGGGACAGGGACAGGGACAGGGACAGGGACAGGGACAGGGACAGGGACAGGGACAGGGACAGGGACAGGGACAGGGACAGGGACAGGGACAGGGACAGGAACACAGGGACAGGGACACAGGGACAGGGACAGGGACAGGGACAGGGACAGGGACAGGGACAGGGACAGGGACAGGGACAGGGACAGGAACACAGGGACAAGGACACAGGGACAGGGACACAGGGACAGGGACACATGGACAGGGACACAGGGACAGGGACGGGGACACAGGGACAAGCACACAGGGACAGGGACAGGGACAGGGACAGGGACAGGGACAGGGACAGAAACAGGGACACAGGGACAGGGACAGGGACAGGGACAGGGACAGGGACAGGGACAGGGACAGGGACAGGGACAGGGACAGGGACAGGGACAGGGACAGGGACAGGGACAGGGACAGGGACAGGGACAGGGACAGGGACAGGGACAGGGACAGGGACAGGGACAGGGACAGAAACAGGGACACAAGGACAGGGACAAGGACAGGGACAGGGACAGGGACAGGGACAGGGACAGGGACAGGGACAGGGACAGGGACAGGGACAGGGACAGGGACAGGGACAGGGACAGGGACAGGGACAGGGACAGGGACAGGGACAGGGACAGGGACAGGGACAGGGACAGGGACAGGGACAGGGACAGGGACAGGGACAGGGACAGGGACAGGGACAGGGACAGGGACAGGGACAGGGACAGGGACAGGGACAGGGACAGGGACAGGGACAGGGACAGGGACAGGGACAGGGACAGGGACAGGGACAGGGACAGGGACAGGGACAGGGACAAGGACACAGGGACAGAGACACAGGGACAGGGACACAGGGACAGGGACACAGGGCCGAGTTGCGCATGGGGCGAGGTACCGTGGAGCCCTGGTAACACGGGTGGAGATGGACAGGAAAGAATCAAGTCACGGCCTTTGAGGGTTCAGAAGAAACGGGCGGAGAAATTGACACCGGCATGTGTCAGCGATCCACATTGCTTGAATTCCATTTAAGCGGGTAGGTCCAACAATGAAACATGCAGACAAAATGGCAACCAATCGTTACTAGAACACAAACTGACACTGCCACATTACCTTGTATGTACGCAATGTTGACGATTGAATCGACTCAAAAGTGAAACCAAGATGACATGGCCACAGTACCTTGTAAGCAATGTTGAAATCTTCTCGGAAGATGCGCCAGTCACGCTCAGTCATCTCGCTCAGCTGATGTGGGAGAGGCGAGTGAGGGAACGGATGGTGAGAGAGACGGTTGGCCTTCCAGTGATACAGAACGGATGGTGAGAGAGATAGGATACGGTACGGTTGGCCTTCCAGTGATACAGTACGGTTGGCCTTTTGACAACGACTACGACTGCCACAACTGGTGACTTCTGAGTCGACTCAAAAGTCACGGATGGTGAGAGCTTGGATACGGTTAGCCTTTTCACAGCCATTACGACTGCCACAACTGGTCAAACGGCCCATACGCAAAGTCATGTTCCGACATCTCCTAAAAGATGTTCCGAGAATTCTCATAAGTAACCCCATATGAGGACAGAGATAGGCAGACAAGAAAAGAGCGTGAAAGGGGGGGGGAGAGCAAGTGGAACGGTAACAGGAAGGGGCAGGAAGAGGAGAGAGCTCTTAAAGGAGGTAAACGAGGAAGATGTCCTGTACAGGACAATTTTGATCCAGTCAGGAGAGTGAGAAGGGAGCTCCAGTCACATTGTGCTCATTCACACATCGCACTCTTCCATTCCAGCCACTGCCCATCCACTCACCCCACTCTTCCAACCACTGCCCATTCACTCACCTATTCGAACCACTCCCCATCCACACACCTTCTTTTCAGACCAGTGCCGGCCAACGCGCATATCAAACGTGTCATACGGGTTTACAGCCTCCCCTTCTTACTGCACGCACGTACACACCCCCTCGCATTATCTACTCCCAGCCAACCACTACCAATCCACTCACCTTCTTCTCAGACCAGTGCCGGTCAACGCGCATGTCAAACGTGTCATAGGCATTCGCAGCCTCCTCCCTCGTCCTCCATGCACCAACGCACACGCAACCCTTCTGATTCTCCTTTGTGATTGCCGCCTATCCACCCACCTTCTTCTCAGACCAGTGCCGGTCAACGCGCATGTCAAACGTGTCATAGGCATTCGCAGCCTCCTCCCTCTTCTGCTGCGCCTCTGCATCCTCTGGCCTCTCCTCCACCCCCTCCTTCTCCTGGTCGGGCAGAGAGAAGAGAAGAGGTTGGGCACACATGCACACACACACGCGCACACACTTGCACACACACACGCGCACACACTTGCACACGCACACGCGCACACACTTGCACACACACACGCGCACACACTTGCACACACACACGCGCACACACTTGCACACACACACGCGCACACACTTGCACACACACACACGCACACACTTGCACACACACACGCGCACACACTTGCACACACACACGTGCACACACTTGCACACACACACGCGCACACACTTGCACACACACACACGCACACACTTGCACACACACACACGCACACACTTGCACACACACACGCGCACACACTTGCACACACACACGCGCCCACACTTGCACACACACACGTGCACACACTTGCACACACACACACACGCACACACGCACACACACACGTGCACACACTTGCACACACACACGCGCACACACTTGCACACACACACGCAAACACACTTGCACACACACACGCGCACACACACATGCGCACGCACATTCACACGCACATACTCACACACATGCACACGTGCACACACACATGCACACGCACATGCACATGCACATGCACATGCACATGCACATGCATGCGCATGCCGATGGACATGTGCACGGGAACATAACATGAATTCATAGGCAACTAAACACAGCCACAAGCAGGCATGGACATGGAAAAGCACACGGAGATGGAGCGGGAACGGAGTTGGAGTTGTGCATCAAAGGGAACGACAATCTCCCGACGTCTCAAAAGAGGAACATGAGGCAGGGGATCCTATTTTTGAGTCGACTCAAAAATACGCGACGTCTAAAAAGAGGAACATGAGGCAGGGGATCAAAGGGAGGGAGAAAAAAGGGCGGGACAAGGGGAACGGGACGGAGTAGACGAGGAGAAGAAGCAACTAAAAATATTGGAGAAATCTCAATAGCAACACCAATAAAGCTGCGGGGAATTTCTGAACTTACCCGTATAGCTGCGCGCATGTCTGCTTCATTCTTCGCTGCAAGCTGATGCGAGGCAAGGCCAGGATTGCATGCAAGCAAGCAGCATTGTACCGCAGCAGAATGCGACAGATGGCATTTGATCGTGCCACGCCATGCCATACCATGCCATCCCATGCCATGTCATCCCATGCCACACCATGCCACCCCAAGCCGTGCCACACCATGCCCCAATATGCCATGCCACGCCATGTAGACCATACCACAAGGCAGCACGAGGCATGATGAGGAGCGAAACAGACACAATGAATGAGTGAAGCTATCACTATTGAAGAATCTATTTGCACTGATGACCTGTGGCCCTAATTGGGTAAGCGCCACTGACAACCGTAAGACCAAATAGAGAGCACCAACCAACCCCACTTTGATGCCTTCTCTCCATCCCACCAAAAACGCCACCCTTCTTCCTTCATTTCGTCAGCTAGCTCCTATCCTCATGCCCTCTTCCCTCCCCACTCTCCCTCTCTCTCCTCCACCTCACCTTCTTCTGCTCCCTCCTGTCCACGCCAGCCCTGAAGCCTCGTCCAAACAGCAACTGTGCCTCGTGGGGGTTCTGGTAGCTGGAAAAAGCACATATTGGGATGAGATAATAGGTTGAAGTAAGCACAATTAGGCCGGCAAGTCCCAATGACAGGTTGAAAGGCACATAACGAGTACAAAATGTAGGCTTTTTTTAGGCGCCTCAAAAATCGTCTCAGTTTTGAGGCGCCTCAAGAAGGCACGTAAGGAGTAGAAAATGTAGGCTTGCTCAAACGCTTTTATGTGGCCCAGACTCACAGCAGATTGACTTTTGAGTCGAGTCAAAAGTCACCTAGTAGAAAATGTAGGCTTGCTCAAACGCTTTTATGTGGCCCAGACTCACAGCAGATTGACTTTTGAGTCGAGTTAAAAGTCACCTCGTAGAAAATGTAGGCTTGCTCAAACGCTTTTATGTGGCCCAGACTCACAGCAGATTGACTTTTGAGTCGAGTCAAAAGTCACCTCGTAGAAAATGTAGGCTTGCTCAAACGCTTTTATGCGGCCCAGACTCACAGCAGATTGACTTTTGAGTCGAGTCAAAAGTCACCTCGTAGAAAATGTAGACTTGCTCAAACGCTTTTATCGGCCCAGACTCACAGCAGATTGACTTTTGAGTCAAGTCAAAAGTCACCTCATAGAAAATGTAGACTTGCTCAAACGCTTTTATGCGGCCCAGACTCACAGCGGATTGAGGTCACATCACATGATGTGTCCTCAGTGTTCTCCCAGTCACAGGATAATCGAAGTTACTGATTCGTCTATTTCTCAAGAACCCTTAGACCACACTCACAGGGGGTTGAGGTCGCGTGAGGTAAGGTGTCCTCGGTGTTCTCCCAATCCAAGGAGAATCGGAACTTCTCATTCAGCCTTTCAGATTTTAGCCCCTAAGAAACACCACTTACAGGGGGTTGAGGTCGCGTGAGGTGTCCTCGGTGTTTTCCCAATCAAAGGAGAATCGGAACTTCTCGCTTGGCTTAATCACTCGCTTCTTGGGCTTGCGCAGACCCAGGTACTGCCCGTGGTGGTGCAGGGGGGAGTGGACGGGGAGGGTGGGAAAGACAAAGGGGGGCGGAGGGAAGAAGGAGGGGAGGGGGGAGGGAGGGGGGGGATGGACGGGAGAGGAACAGGATGAACGGGAGAGGGGGAGAATGGACAGGAGAGGGGGAAGGAGGGGAGAGGGGGAGGATGGACGGGAGAGGGGGAAGAAGGAGGGGAGAGGGGGAGCGAGTGAGAATGAGTGGGAAGGTGGGAGGGCGGAGAGTGAATTGGTATAAACCATGCATTGATTGAGATGCTGACATACAGTGAGGGAGGGAGGGTGGGAGGGAGGGAGGAGGGAGGGAGGGAGGGAGGGAGGGAGGGAGGGAGGGAGGGAGGGAGGGAGGGAGGGAGGAAGGGAGGGAGGGAGGAGGGAGGGAGGGAGGAAGGGAGGGAGGGAGGGAGGGAGGGAGGGAGGGAGGGAGGGAGGGGGGAGGGAGGGAGGGAGGGAGGGAGGGAGGGAGGGAGGGAGGGGGAGGGAGAGAGGGTCGGGGGGAGGAAGGGAGTGAGGGAGAGAAGGAGGGAGGGATAAACGAGAATTGAAAGCAACTGCAGCTGAGGGAAAAAAAACGTCGAGGGTTGATTGGGGAAAGGGAGAAGGAATAGGAGCAGCAGTTTTGCGAAAAAAAAAAAAAAAAAAACATTATCTAGTCAACAAAACAGAGGGGAAACCCACCTGCTCTCGGATCATCTCCAGCTCCCTCTCCCTGTCCGTGCCTGCTCCTCCTGCCCCAGCACCTCCCTCCTCGCCCTTCCCCTTCCCCTTCTCCTTCTCCTTCTCGCCATCCCTCCCCTTGTCCCTATCCCACTCTCGCTCCCTGCCCCTCTCCCTATCCCGGTCCCTATCTCTGTCCCTGTCCCTGTCCCTGTCCCTGTCCCTGTCCCTGTCCCTATCCCTCTCCCTATCCCTGTCTCTATCTCTATCCCTGTCCCTGTCCCTATCCCTGTCTCTATCTCTATCCCTGTCCCTGTCCCTGTCCCTGTCTCTGTCTCTATCCCTGTCCCTCTCTCGGTATCTTTCTCTGTCACGGTCCCTATCCCGATCCCTATCCCTATCCCTATCCCTATCCCTGTCACCGTCCCTATCCCTGTCCCTGTCCCTATCCCTACCCCTCTCCCTCTCCCGTTCATCCCCCTCCTTCTCCTCCCTCCCTCTGTCACTCTCCCTGCCTCGTCCCCCGTCCCTCTTCCCCTCCTCCCCATCCGCATCCACAGCCTTTCCCCCCTCCTTGTCCTCTGCAGCACCGTCCTCTGCATTCTCATCTGTCAGAATGAAACGGGTCAAAGGGGAGGCAAAAGAAAAAAATACCAGTCGAACCAGAAATTGCATCCACGGCATTTCCCCTACCTTCGCTACCCACAGCATAACACTCTGCATTCTCGTCTGTCTAAATGTCGCCAGGTGAAAAGGGTAACAAGAAAGCTTTTGAGTTGACTCAACAGTCGCAGCCACAGCCAAGTGCACAGAGCCAACGCAAAATTAAAAAAGGAAAAGCCTGAATCGCTTAGTGAGACAATGATAAAGTTCTCTGGGCGCCCAATCACTTAGGCCCCGCCTTGAACACTTAATATAAAAACTACTAGACTTGCTGATTATTCAAAGGGAAAAAGACGTGTGGATTGCCTACCGGGAAGAGGAGGGAGACCTCTGAGCGCCCGGCGCTGGTTCTCAATTCTGCAGCAGACAGGAGAGGCGAGGAGAGGAGTGGAGAGGAGAGGAGAGGAGGGCAGAATACCGGACAGGACAGTAATGTGAAAGAGGTGAACAGGGCAATGAACAACTGTGACAAAGAAACCACAGCGAGCAGCAATGCAAACCAATTGACAAGGTTGGGGCAAGGTAGAAGACACTGCAGCTTCTGCATTGTTCGAAAAAGCTTCTGAGTTTAATACCCCTCCCCCTCCCCCCCCGCCTCCCTTTCCCCCCTTTTTCCCCAACCTACTTTCTCATCTGAGCTGTTGCCTCTGCCTTGCGCCTCTGCAGCGCTAAAGCTTGCCTCTGCTCCTTGGTGAGAAACACAGGCTGTGAAAGCAAAAATCCCGTGGACAGGGGGAAGGTTGGGGGGTGGGAAGCGATTGGGAAAGGGAAATGGAAAAGGGCAGCAGAAACCGGAAGGGAGAAAGGCAGGGAGGAACGGGAGGGACATCAGCGGGACCACAAAATCGCATCGACTAGAATGTCATTGGATGCGCTGAAATGCATCAGACTGACATTGGATGCACTGAAATGCATCAGACTGACATTAACTGCACTGAAACGCATCACACAGACAGACAGACAGACAGACAGACAGACAGACAGACAGACAGACAGACAGACAGACAGACAGACAGACAGACAGACAGACAGACAGACAGACAGACAGACAGACAGACAGACAGACAGATTAACATTGCAAGAAAAGAGATATGCATCAGACTGACATCGGAAGCAATCATGGTGAAGCTAGGGAGCAGCAGCATCAGTGAAACAACTTCTTTTCATTCCTAACGAAGTTGCAGCAAGTAATTTGAGTCGACTCAAAATACACCTGGACAAGCTAGGGAGCAGCGGCATCAGTGAAACAACTTCTTTTCATTCAAAACAAAGTCGCAGCAAGTAATTCGTAGAAATAGAGATACCTTGGCCTGTTGCAAGGCGTCCTCTTTCCTCTTCTTTAACAGCTCTTCCAACGACAGGGGCTGCACAACCACAACAGGAAAATAATCACATGACATCACAGCACGGATGAGAGAGGATGTGACTAGTGCTATAGATCGTTACTCTTAGAAGGCTTGCTGCGTTTCGAACCCAAAGAATTTCAACAATAATCACATGACATCACAGCACGGATAAGAGCGGATGTGTTTTTTATTTGACACGTCTTACAACCCTTTCCTCTTGTCCGAGGATAACAGCTGCAAACAGAACAGGAGAATGATATCACATGACAGCACGAATAAGTGAGGAAGGACAGATAGCAGCACAGTGGACAGACAGGATAAGGTTCGGACTCCAGACGAAAGGATGGTTCCAGCAGAAGGACACGCTACTACAGCGTCAGCGTGAAATTCCGCATGTAAGAACAGCTTTATTCGCTTGAACCCCTTACCTCCTGCTTCTTCGGAGCAGCAGCAGCAGCACCAGCAGCATCGCCGTTCTGTTTCCCGTTTTCTTTCGCCTCGTCACCGGAGACTTGTCCAGCCGGCATTCCCTCCTCCGCTACCGCACCTCCCTTCGCATCCTTCCGCGAATCATCCTTGACTTCCTTTCCCGCATCCTTCGCTTCTCTCTTCTCCTCCGTTGTACCGTCCCTCGCAGCATCGCGCTCCCGGCTCCTGCTCCTGCTCCTACTCCTGCTGCTCTTCCGTCGCTTCTCCCGGTCGCGACTGCGGCTGCGACGCTTGCGATCCGGCGAACGGCTGCGGCTGCGACGCTTGCGATCTGGAGAGCGACTGCGACTCCGTTTGCTGCGCCGATCTCGCCGCTCCTTGTCGCCTGTTTTATCCTTGTCGCGGTCTCGTTTCTTATCCCGACCTCGATCTTTCTCCTTCACCTTGACATCGTCCCTACCTCGGTCTCGGTCCCTGCTTCGGCTGCGACTCCTGCTCCTGCTTCTGTGTGCCGTCCTTCCCTCCCTCTCCTCCTCATCTTTCGCCATACCCGGAGGCGGAAAGAGGAAAGAAACAGGAGGGGAAATTCGGACGAGAATCGGAGGAAGAACAGAACAAGAAAGCGAGGAACGTAAACGAGTAGAAATCAAATGTTCGAATTAATTTTTGCTAATTGAAGAACTTGAGCCAGTCAGCGACTCGCAGCTAGAGAGCGACCTTCTGTAGAATGTAGGGATGAAGAGGCTTGAAAAATCTCGAGAACCTGATTGGAGGCTTGAATGGTAATCTCTAGGTTGAAAGTAGGCTGCACCCCACGCGCTATAGTCTACCTCGGATTTGTACACAAAGTGAGTTCGGTGAGACGTTAGAAGTAAACGATCCTTATGAAAATAATTATTCAGGAACTAAAATGTACAGAATGCGTAGTTGGCCATACATCATGGTTCTACACGACAAATCCTAATCTAATGGGACTACAATATATACGAACTATATCCATCTGCACAATAATTACACCATGATGGATTGTCGACGACGTCCTCTTGCTGTGGGCTTCTCCTTTTCATCCATATCTGGGTCAATGTCACTTGTAACTCGAAGCCTGCCAAGGATATAAAAAAAAAAAACATGCTTATATATTTAAAAAAAAACCCATGCATAACCACCATCGCATCAACTGAAGCACACACACCCATGCATGCATGCACCCTCACAATCAGAGCGCTGAATCCCAACTTCACCATTAGCAAGCTGTTACCCCTCGTAATATCTGCTAGAACACTTACCAGAACTGCAGGCAGTAGCGCACAAGCGAGTCAGCCCCGAGCCGATGCGACTCCTCCACGATTTGTTCCGCCAGTGCCCGCTGGCGGCACAGCGTCACCCCCCCATCCTCTTCCTCTTCACTGCCTTCCCTGCCCCCAGGCCGCCCGTCAAAACTTTCTTTGCACTCCGACAACCCCCCCGGGCGGCGAAGAGAGGTGTCCAGAGAATGGGCCAATCGGAATTCAGCGAGAAGCTTCAGTGAGTCAGCAACAGTGAGCACAGCAGAATGGCCTCCCCCTGCTGCCAGTGCCTGCACCTTGCCCACACACCAGTCCACGTGCATGGGCATCCATGCATAGGACTCCCTCCCTGTTGCTGCCTGCCCACAGCTGTTGTAGCCCCAACCTAGGATCTGATCGTCTGCCATCGCCACTAGCGTGTGGTCCTGGGGGGGACAAGGGGCATGGGAGGGAGAAGAGGCGTGAGGGAGAGAACGGGTATGCCCGCAGCTGTTTCAGAACCACCACCCCAGGACCTGATGGTCTGCCATGGCCGCTAGAGTGTGGTCCTGGGGTCACAGCAGACACCCCAGTCCACATGCATGGGCATCCATGCATAGGACTCCCTCCCTGTTACTGCCTGCCAACAGCTGTTGTAGCCCCACCCTAGTATCTGATCGTCTGCCATCGCCACTAGCGTGTGGTCCTGGCGTCACAGCAGGTAGAGGGGAGAGGCGAGGCCAGGCGAGCACAGGGGTAAGGGGAACACAAGACGAGGCGCTAAGTCTATTCCCTTCAGAAAGAATGAACAAGGTAAACATGCCTAAAAAAAAATGGGCCAGGTCCTCCACGTCTCAGTAAGTAGGGAAACATGCCTTCTCACATGTCCAGCGGTCAATTTTTGAGGCGCCTCAAAAATGAACATGCTCCCTCACCTGTCCACAGGTCACAAGTCGTATCGCACGCCCTTGGGCATGAGCAGCAGTGGCTGTCGCTGCACCAGCCCCCTCACAAAATTCAGCGACGAGCACCCGCTCCCCCCTCCCTTTTCCCCCCCATGCGCCCCATGCTCCCCCATGCATCGCTACCACACTCCCTCACCTGCCCGCATGTCACCAGCCCAGCCGCACGCCCTTGGGCACGAGCAGCAGTGGCTGTCGCTGCACCAACCCTCTCACAAAGTCCAGCGACGAGCACCCTCTACCACCTCACCTCACCATGCACCCCCCATGCAGCCGCCACACGCATTCTCTCACCTGCCCACACGTCACCAGTCGCACGCCCTTGGGCATGAGCAGCAACGGCTGTCGCTGCACCAGCCCCCTCACAAAATCCAGCGACGAGCATCCACCCGCACTCGCCCCTGCTCCAAATCCTCCCCCAAACGGCCCTCCAAATCTGTTGCTGCTGCTGCTACTGGCGGCAGTAGTGGTGCTGAACCCGGTGTGTAGGTGGTGGAAGGAAGGACAGGATGAGGCGGAGGCGGAGGAGGAGGAGGTGGGAGCAGAAGAGGCAGAGGTGGGGCCCGTGCCTAGCTGCCCGTCCCTTCCCGCACCCCAGATGTAAAGAGCGCCCCTGTAGTGGGAAAGTGGGGTGGGAGCGGGGGTAGGAAGGCGCAGAGGGGAGGGCAAAGGAGCAGCGGAATTGGGTCCAAGTGAAGAGCAGCATGCAGTCACAGGAGGAGGCGGAGGTGGGGCCTGTGCCTAGCCGCCCGTCCCTGCCAGCTCCCCAGATGTAAAAGCGCCCCTGTAGTGGGGAAGGGGGTTGGGGGTGCACAAACAGGAGGGCACGGGAGCGAGAGGAATTGGGTTCAGGTAAAGGCGGAGGTGGGGGCTGTGCCTAGCTGCCCGTCCCTGCCAGCGCCCCAGATGTTAAGTGCGCTCCAGATAAAAAGTGCGCCCCTGTAATGGGAAGGTGGGGAGCGAGCGGGGGTGGGTGAAAGGGAGCAGGGTGAGGTGGTGCTGGGAAGGTGGGGCGACGGAGCTGGGGGGACTGGGTTCATGTCAAGAGACAGCAAACTCTCCTGACCTCAGCAGCAAGCTGTCTCAAGCGGAGGCAGAGGTGGGGCCCACGTGGGGAACACGTGGGGCCCATGTGGTGCCCATGTGGTGCCCAAGTGGGGACCACATGAGGCCCACACGTGCCCAGCTGCCCATCTCTACCCAGATCCCAGATGCAAAGGGCGCCCCTGGAAAGGGGGAGTGGGGGTGGTTGGGAGCAGCGTGGGATGGTGCGCATGTGCGTGCTTGTGTGGGTGTGTCAGTGTGCGTGTGAATGCAATTGCGTGTCCCTGTGTGTGTGTGTGTTTGTGTTGAGTTTGTGTTGAGTTTGTGTTTGTGTGTGTGTTTGTGCATGTGTACACACATTCGCCAGCACACCCACCTGTGGGTGAGGGCGCATGTGTGTGTGCGGCCACATGCCACCTGCGTCACTGCAACCCCTTCAAGAGCCACCACCCGCCTCGGCACCACCTCACACGTGCCGCCTCTAGTCACCGTGTGTATCCATATGAGTGTCCCTGTGTCCATACATACACACTGAACACATGCATACCTGTGGGTGAGAGCGCACGTGTGCGTGCGGCCGCATGCCACCTGCGTCACTGAAACCCCCTCCAGAGCCACCACCCGCCTTGGCACCACCTCACACGTGCCGCCCCGAGCCTGCAACGTTCGATGCCCCAGCTGCCCCATCAACCCGCCTCCCCACGTGTACCTGTCCATGCACAGAAAACAGGGGACAAAAGGTGGGCACAACACATGAATTCAGGTTTACAATTCCTCATTCCTTGAACTGGCTGCTGCCTCTGTTCCGCAGCAGCTGCCCCAGTAACCGACCTCCCCATGTGTACCTGCACATTGCAAAGTTACAAGGGGATAAAGGAACAAAAGGGAGCGCCAAAAGCTTTACTCTGAGGACTCCTCATTCCCTGACCTGGCCCTGGCCTTGCATAGGTGCCCCAACTTCCCCAGCAACCCAACCACCCCCCCCCCCCAGATTCACTCATATCTCGCCCCTGGCATCACGTCAACAGCAGCAGTGTGAACCCCCCCACACGCCACCGCCACAGCACGGATCAGCTTTGAACTCAGCTAATACTGGCCCTCTTTTCCCACCCTCCTCTCGCCTCTGAAAGCGGTGGAAGCGGTGGAAGGAGGAGACCAGGTGCGGCTTTTGTAGACCATCGCTGGGCTGAGGCGGAGACCAGCGGGTGCCCAGCTGCCCATGCTCTGGAAGCGGTGGAAGGAGGAGACCAGGTGCGGCTTCTGTGTGCGTGCGTGTGAGTGAGTGTTCCTGTGTGCGCGCATACACAGGCACTCACATCTCGCCCCTGGCGTCGACAGCAGCGGTGTGAAACCCCCCGCACGCCACCGCCACGATCTTAATTCCGTCCGGGCAGGTGAGGGGCAGGTCATCTAGGTAGCGCTGGAAGGAGGTCACCAGGTGCGGCTTCTGCAGTCCGTCACACGCCCTGCCGATGCCCAGCTGCCCATGCTCGTTGTAGCCTGGAGGCGAGTTGTGAGGGGGTGAAGCAAAAGGAGAGAATGTGGGAGGGAGGTACAGTACAGGGGCAGGTTTGGGGGTGAGGGAGGAGTGGAGTGGAGGCATCACCACAACACAAATCAGGGCAGGTGGGGGGAGGGTTGTCTAGGTAGCACTGGAAGGAGGTCACCAGGTGCGGCTTCTGCAGTCCGTCACACGCCCTGCCGATGCCCAGGTTCCCATGCTCGTTGTAGCCTGGGGGGGTGTGGTGGGGTGGGGGTGACGTGGGTTGGGAGAGGTGGAGCGTGGGCAGGTTTGGGGGTGAGGAGGAGTGGTGGTAACTCATCAGCTGGGAAGCGCTGGAAGGACTAGGTAGAAGCGTGTATGAAGAAGTGTTTTGAGACGTCTCAAAGGACTAGGTACAAGACTAGGTGAAGCCAGGAGTGGTGCAGAATAATTGGTGCGGCTTCTGCAGCCGATGACACGCCCTGCCCGATGCCCAGCTGCCCATGCTCGTTGTAGCCTGGATGTGTGGTGGGGGGTGATAGAAGAAGGGGAAAGTTTGGGGTTGAAGGGAGGAATGCAGGCATCCCATCGTCTAAGAAGCACTGGAAGGAGGTCACCAGGTGCGGCTTCTGTAGCCCGTCACACGCCCTGCCGATACCCAGCTGCCCATGCTCGTTGTAGCCTGGGTATTGTGGGTAGTGTGGCGTGAAGGAAGACGGGGGGGGGGAGAGGAGCAGAGAGGTGGGGGGGTGTACAGGGCGGTGGGAAGAGGGTTGGCGGAGGGGGAGCAGAGGTGCGAAAGGGGGAGAAGACGCGTGTATAGTGTGCGAAAGGGGAAGAAGCTGGTATGAGCGCAAGAATGGAGCGTTGAGAATAGTGTTACATGGGTAGGTCAAAGGCGGAGTGTTGAGTTGTCAGGAGCAGAAGCAGCGGCGTGTGAATCGCATGCTTGCTTGCATACCCATCCATATGACTCCACTCTTGCATTACCCCATGCACACCTGCTTGCGCCCATCCGTCTCACCCCATGTCTGCAGCAGGCCGGTGTTGGACACAGCAGCAGCGTGTGAGTCAGCGACCTCGCCCACACAACCATGCCATACCATGCCATGATAGCTTTGCATGATCGTACATCTCACACCATGCCATACCATGCCATGATAGCTTTGCATGATCGTACATCTCCCACCATGCCATACCATGCCATGATAGCTTTGCATGATCGTACATCTCCCACCATGCCATACCATGCCATGATAGCTTTGCATGATCGTACATCTCACACCATGCCATACCATGCCATGATAGCTTTGCATGATCGTACATCTCCCACCATGCCATACCATGCCATGATAGCTTTGCATGATCGTACATCTCCCACCATGCCATACCATGCCATGATAGCTTTGCATGATCGTACATCTCACACCATGCCATACCAAGCCATGATAGCTTTGCATGATCGTACATCTCACACCATGCCATACCATGCCATGATAGCTTTGCATGATCGTACATCTCCCACCATGCCATACCATGCCATGATAGCTTTGCATGATCGTACATCTCCCACCATGCCATACCATGCCATGATAGCTTTGCATGATCGTACATCTCCCACCACGCCATACCATGCCATGCGTACACCTCTCCCACCCACCCCATGTCTGCAGCAGGCCAGTGTTGGACACAGCAGCAGCGTGTGAGTCGCCACAAGACACCTGAACAACCACCTAGAAGATGGTCAGGGGGCAGGGCAGGTGAAGGCGGGAGGGCGAGTATGTGAGATAATGGGGGGATTTTTCTTAAATAATTTTCTGCCATCAAGTCCGCCTAAGTGGCCACCTCAGAAGTCAGACTGCCTAAAAGACCGCTAAGAGTGTGTTTAGTGAAGACTTGTAATGAGTATCACGGCCGAACCCACACAACCGATTATATTTTTATGCTTGCTTGGGTTGGGTTTATGAAAGCAGCACAAGCGGGCAAATGAACACTCTCACAAACGAATGGATGGACGAGAACTGTACATTTGCGGGTGACTACTACGAATGCCAGATTGAAGGGCGAAGCTCACCGTTTTGGGGGGGAAGGCTCCTCGCATGAGACGAGGGAGGTTGGAATTCTGCCGAGCAAGAAAAAAAATAGGAACGAAATGAAAAGAGGGGATATGATTAGTGAGTCAAGGAATGGGTTTTCGTAACTATATTGATGACGATAAGAACAATAGCCAGTCGTTATAAGACCATTAACTCCTTATGATAAGGGCATTCAGTTCCACCTTGAGACTGAGAGGATGCAAGTGGAATTGAGTGACATCTGCCTCTGCTACCATCCAATAGTACCGCTTTCAACCAGCCAGCAGAACCCGCTATCTACTAAAACCGCTTTGTACCCACCTGGTTTTGGCCCCATACCCATAGGCGCCCCTCCTCCCCCTCCTCCTCCCCACCACCCCCATGCTCCGCGTTCCCCCCTCCCCTCTCCCCCCTCCCCCGCCCGCCCCCCCTCCGCCTGGTGATGGCAGCAGTGCACTGCGCGCCACACGCCACAGCAGTCACCTCCTCCCCTGCCTCCTCCAAAGCTGCTACCCTTATGGGCTCCCTGAAGGGAAAAGGGAGAGAGGAAAGGAGAGAGGAGGGAACAGAGGAGCAGGGGTTGATAAATTCATTGCGCTGCGCACTACATACCACAGCAGTCACCTCCTCCCCTGCCTCCTCCAAAGCTGCTACCCTTATGGGCTCCCTGAAGGGAAAAGGGCTCCCTGGAAAATGGGGGTGGAGGGAGCCCATAAGGGTAGCAGCTTTGGAGGAGGCAGGGGAGGAGGTGGAAAGTGGTTTTCAAAGAAAAAGGGAGACAACGGAGATCTGCTTGCATTCCAGTGCGCTTTCCTGGGAAAAAAAAATAATAATAAGTAAACGGCATCAACAAAGTCAACGGAGTCAATAGAGTCAACGCACCTGGTGCTCTGCTCTGTGCCGTCGCCCAGCTGTCCGTACTCATTCGAGCCCCACAAGAACAAGCTCCCATCAATGCCCACCGCCGTGCTATGTTTCAACCCACGGAGTCAACAGAGTCAACGGAGTCAACGCATCTGGTGCTCTGCTCTGTGCCGTCGCCCAGCTGTCCGTACTCATTCGAGCCCCACAAGAACAAGCTCCCATCAATGCCCACCGCTGTGCTATGTTTCAACCGGAGTCAACAGAGTCAACGGAGTCAATGCACCTGGTGCTCTGCTCTGTGCCTCATTCGAGCCCCACAAGAACAAGCTCCCATCAATGCCCACCGCCGTTCTATGTTTCAACCCGCACCGAGTCAACAGAGTCAACGGAGTCAACACACCTGGTGCTCTGCTCTGTGCCGTCGCCCAGCTGTCCGTACTCATTCGACCCCCACGTGAACAGGCTCCCATCTATTCCCACCGCCGCGCTATGTTCCAACCCGCACGCCACGCTAACAAGCGCAACGGGCCGCCCGTCCCGCGCGCGGAACTTCTCCCGCGCGATCCGCAGCGGCGCGCGCTGGCAGCGCCACGTGCGCGGATCCCCGCGCAGCCCCGCACGGTGGCTGGTCTGCCCGCGGAGATTGAATCCCCAGAGGTAGAGCGCGCTTTCCACGGGCTGGGCGAGACCGGCGATCGCGGCGGAAGATGCGGCGGGAGGTACGGCGGGGGATGCGGTAAAGCCGCCGTTGTCGCGAACAAGCCCGTCCATTTGTGATTCGAACAAAGCCTAGCTACTAGATGCGCGGACCTCAAGTTGAGCTGCGCGGTTGGGCTCGAGAGTCTGGGGCGGAAGGGGGGCGAGCAACCAGCGGAGAGGCGGGATGGAAGCTGCGGAGCGAAAATTGCGGAAAATCAGTGACGCGACGCGCGTTTTGCAGTAAGGTGTGGGAGTTTTACATAAAATGCCGCAGCAGGAATGCTGAAATGTAGCAAGCTAGTTGGAAGACTTATGGATAGAACCCCAACGGACTCGCTTGTCGGCTGAGTTATACTAGGAGGAGGCACAAATTTACCGCACACAAATTTCGGCACCTTGAAAACAACGCGACCAAATCTGACAAGTACAATTGATGCCTGTTTGAGCCCCTCCCGGTTGCCTTATGAAGGGGGCGTATAAGCTGTCACGAGCATTTCGCATAAGTTTCGTCAATTCGCAGCTAGCTAAAAAGGATTCGCATGTGCTTATAAACAAGATCTGTTACCTCGTTTGACTTCAGTCTCTTCTGCTTGACTTCGGTATGTTCGTTACTATTGGTTGATAACCACGCGACGCGCTTGTAATGTAGGTGCATGAAGCTGGGGAAACAACCTCGGGTGCAGCGTATCCATCCGGCGCAAGGCAAATTCGCGTGCATGGGGTGAGCATCAGCTGTACAGAGCTTTTGACTCGGCGCGCCTCACATCTGAGAGCTCGATGTTTGGCTCTCAGCAGCACGTGGATAATGATCATTGGTTGTACTCTGAGTTTGTCAGCCAATGATGAACACCTTTATTGCAAGCTGGATGAGAGCAAGGATGGTAGCCTCGTGTAATCACTTTCAATAAGAGCACAGAAATCGTCAATATAATGTTTCAAATGTGGAATGAAGGCAGCCGTTGTTGCTCAATTAGTGTTGTGTTCGTATACTCGCTAGCGATTCTCGCCGCGCGGCTGAACGGATCCAACGTGGTTGGGGCCACCGGCGACGCCAACGCCACCGGGCGAGTCTGCCTCCCCGTCTTCAAGTAAGCCGCTTAAGTCGATTCACTTCAATCCCACTTGCTAATGGTGCCTCACCCTCTTCGAGTAAGCCAACCTTCTGTGAAGCGGCCGCCTCTCATCTTCGCAGACTTCCACATTCCCGTTCTAGTCAAGTAAACCGTTGCTTTCCGTCTTCTGAAATTCAAGTTTTGGATTTCCCTGGTTTTAAAACTATTTCCCTGGTTTTTAAATCCAAACTTAACAAACCCTGTTCATCACTTCGTTTGTTCGACTTCCCTGAGCAATGCTCATTCCGTTCCTCTCTTTCGCTCGCTTGCGTGAACCCTGACGGAATCCGTCAGAAAAGACGGCGACTACAACGTCTTCTATAGTGTCGTCACATCCACCTCCGACGCCGACGAGCCGTACGCCGCTTCGATCTATCAAGGCGCAGCGGGAGAGGCAGGAACCGCTGTTCATAATACTGTCGCTGCAGGAGAAACCGCCACGTGGGCGAATCTTACTCGTCCGCCGCCTCCCCCGCCCAAGAGCAAGAAGAACAAGGGCACACCGCCCCCTCCACCGCCTCCCAAGTATACTTATGGCACTAACGCGACGTGGCTTACAGCGAGTAGTGTCCACGATCGGCGGGCAGACACTGAGGGAGCTGGTGGATGCAATTATCGCGAATCCGGATGGTTACTACGCGTCGTTCGCGACGCTTGCTTTCGAGTCGGGTGCAGCGCGGGGGCAGTTTCAGTCGGACCCGCTTCCACCGCCGCCTAAGGGCAAGAAGGGCGGGAAGGATGGTGGGAAGAAGGGCGGAGGCAAGACTGGTGGCGATCGGTTCGGCACTCTCGTTGGTAAGCGCTTTAATAAAAGGAAGCCTTCTCCGGCTCTCCTGCCTCGCCCACTCCTGCCTCGTCCACTCCTGCCTCGCCCATTCTTGCCTCGCCCATTCTTGCCTCGCCCATTCTTGCCTCGCCCATCCTTTCGCGTCTCAACAGCTACAATTGATCTTCTCTGCATTTTTTTCCTTTTCCGTGGTTCCACGACTTCGTGCAGGTGCGGTCGCAGCGCGCGTCAACGGCTCTAACGTTGACCTCCAAGCTGACGTCAACGCCACGGGCTGCGTTGACCTCGCCATCTTCTTGTAAGCTTCGCCTTCTCTCTTCACTTTTCTCACTACTCACGTCTTTGAGGCGATTCTAGAGGCGCCTCAAAAATTGTAAGCTTCGCCTTCTCCCTTCACTTCTCTCACTACTCACGTCTCTTTTTGAGGCGATTTTTGAGGCGCCTCAAAAATAGTCGGGCTGTGTTTACCTTGCCATCTTCTTGTACGTTTCCCCTTCTCTCTTCTCTCTTTTCTCTTCTCTCCTTCTCCCTACTCACGCCTCATTTTCCTCAGTTCTTCAATTCACATCTCCCCTCCGGTCACTCTTTACTCTCTCAACCTCACTGTACGTCTAGTATCACTTTTTTTGTCAACCTTCCAACCGCCTCTTGTTACCTTTTGCCCCTCTATCTCCGCCTGGTCCATGACCAAACACCCGTCCCTCCTTGCCCCTCCCTTCCCCTCCCTGCCCCTCCCTGCTCCTCCCTGCGACCCTCCTGCGTAGAAACGCCACAACTAACGACTACGACATTTATTACCACGTCCGCATCAGTCTGAATGACTCTGGGGAGCCCACTGGTGTCGTCATAAAAAATGGCGCTGACGTGGCACTCACCGTGACCACCAGCGACGCCAAGTGGACCAATCGCACGCTCACAGATGCCGAGCGCGCCAAGCTGGGCGGGAAACTGACTCCCAAGGGCAAGAAGGGCAAGCAGCCGCCTCCCCCGCCTCCTCCACTCGGTTACAACTACAAAACCACCGGCACTTGGCTAAGCGCCAGTACTTTGACGGCGGATAACGGGCAGACGTACAAGGAGCTGGCAGATGCCATGCTGGCTGCTCCTACCTCTTACTCTGCTCTCGTCTACACCAAGACGTACGAGAACGGTGCAGCGAGCGGTGCTTTCGTAGATGTCACCATGAAAGATGGTGATGGGTCTGGCGCATTTGGCGTCAAACTGCGCACAAAAGCCAGCTTCGGCCTTGCCTGAAAGCCTACTGGGCGCGGACAAAGTGGTGATCCTATTCATCACCCTAGCCAATAGGTCATCAAAGCATGGTACGATAGCACATCGCCCATGGATGGACCCATACAGGTACATGCTCCATCAAAATTGGAGCAGAGGGAGTACCTGACGGGGCTTATGGGGTAAAGGTGCTCAGCTATTTCAGGATATTTGTTGGTATTTGTTTGTTAGGGTGTGGGATCTGTCGCCTTGTTGTACAATATGTACGATTTGTGCAAGTGTTTTCCTAATGGCCTGTATTCTCAAGAACACCTGATGCATGAAGATTCAGCGCTGCATGCAAAATCAGCAGTGCAAGGGCAGAGCAGGTTGACTGCATGCTACTAGCCAACTAGCTAGCTAGCACCCCCTGGATAGCATCACACACAACCAGCAATGGTTTCCCACTTGTTGCTGTGCTCTAAGCCATGTTAATGCTGCAAATGCTCATGAACATGTAGAGCAGAGAGTGGGGTATTGTACTCCTCATCCATGCTGACCGTCACAGCTACAGGTGAGGAGCCTTTGCGGGTGGTGCATTAAAAAAGGAGAATGATCATCTAAAACCAAGCATGAATTTATAACATAATGGTGCGGTATGTACCTCTGTGTATAAAGTATGTTATGGCTGAATTATGAAATTCGTTTTTGAGTGCTCACTGTTGTGTTCGTATCGCGGTTTACTTTGCGTGAAAACAATCCACCATTGCTCGCGTCGCATCTCCGGCCGTTCCCACAGTGTCACCTGCGCCCACAGTAAAGCAACCGTCAAGAATGTTTGCTGGGTATGGGCGGGGCGGGTGCAGGTGTTGTAAAAAAACTGAAAATTTTCATCCGGAATTTCCAGAATCACACGCTACACCTGATGCTCGTTTGAGTCCCCCATGGTTGCCTTGTGAAGAGGGCGCTACAGTAATTTTGCATTTCGCACAGCTTTCGTCAATTCGCAGCTAGCAAAATTGTGCTAGAATTCTATTATTGTAATTGCATGTATACAAGTTGGTGTAGTATGACCGTAGTGTTCTCCAGCGACATCACATCCCCATCTATAGTGTCACCGTAGTGCATGTATTACTCTACTCCCACGCTTCCTCCAGTCCCCCTCCACCTTCGTTACATTTCTCGCTGGCGCTTGCAGAAGAATTTTAGGTAGGCTGCCCGCTATCGTACCCTCCATATACACATGATGCCCAACCAGTGCACGCGAATTTGCCTTGCGCCGGATGGAAACTCTGCACCCGAGGTCTTTTCCCCAGCCTGTTGCACCCACGTTACAAGCGCGTCGCGTGGTTATGAACCAATAGTAACGAACAGACCGAAGTCAAACTGAAGAGACTGAAGTCAAAATGTTGACGGATAAGGTTACAGATGTGAAGATCGAGAGGATGGTTTGACTAGGAGGAAGAGAGATACAAGTAGAAAACCTATACTCTCTAGAGTCTAACCCACTACAGCCTAAATAATCAATGTTATATAAGTTTGACACACCCCCATAGGCAAAGTGGGGAAGACCTAAAGGCCACAAGACCAGTCAAGCAAAGCAAGCTCAGAGTGGATCACAACGTCACCACAAAATCTGAGCACAAGGTCAAGGCCACAAGGCCAGTTCACATGCAGGATAATATATAAAGGCAAACAAGCAAGAGCAGGTATATAGAAAACACAGTACAAGCAAGGTCAAGAAGTGAGCAAGTGAGGCCAAGTGGGCACAAGACCTAGCATCGTACAGAAGCGCTGATGATCACAAGGCGGAAGTGCCTTGGTGAAGATATCAGCAGTGTTGGCCCGAGTGGCCACGTAAGCAAGGCGCAGCTGACCACGCTGCTGCAGCTCACGAGCAAGGAAGTAGCGGAGAGCAATGTGCTTCGTTCTGTGCTCCAGTCTCTGCTCCCGACACAAGGCCAACATTGCCTTGTTGTCTACGTACAGAACTGGAGGAGAACGAGGCGGCTCTCCCAGGTCAGTCAGCAGGTAGGTGAGCCAGCGTAACTCCTGTGCAGCCATGGCTCTAGCGTAGATCTCAGCCTCACAGCTAGAGCTGAGAACAGACGACGAGCGGGTAGACCGCCACGAAACAGAGCCGGAACCAAGGCTGAAGGTGTAACCCTGTGACGACCGCTGTGTAGCCAGGTCGTCAACCCAAGAAGCGTCTGCGTGACCAGTGAGGACCACTGGACTCTGCCCTCCAAGCACTAGCCCCATGCCCGACGTACTGCACAAGTAGCGCAACACCCTCTTCGCTGCAGCCATGTGCTCTGGTCGGTGTCTCCCAGGAGCAACATAGCGTGCCAAGATGCTAAGAGGGTATGCAAGGTCAGGTCGCGTGCAGGTCATCAGGTACATGAGGCAGCCAACAAGCTCTGGGTACGGGCCACTCGGCTCTACGGACTCATCCGAAGGCAGAGCTGAGAGCGAGTGGCGAGTAGACAGAGGAGTGGCCTGAGGCGAGGAGTACGTGAAGTCGAAGCGCTGAAGGACCTGCTGCACCATGTGTGACTGAGACAGTGTAATGGTGCGCCGTGCTCTGTCCCGGGTGATTTGCAAGCCAAGGTAGCTGCGCAGTTCACCCAGGTCTGTGCACGTGTGTCGCTTCTGCAGCTCGGACTTCACGTGGGCGAGTCCAGCAGTGTCAGCTGTAGCAAAGACCAGGTCGTCGACGTACACGAGGATGTAGAACGGCGGCAAAGAGGTGTCGGTGCGCAGAAACAGCGACGGGTCGGCAGTAGAAGGAGCAAACCCAGGAGTTGCAAGCGTAGTCCTCAATGTGTCGTGCCACTCACGCGGCGCCTGGCGGAGACCGTAGACCGGCCGCCGGAGGCTCCACTGGGTGCCAGGAGGAAACGTCCCAGTGAAGCCAGGTGGGCGGCGCAGCCAGATCTCCTCGTGCAGGCTGCCCTGTAGGAAAGCTGTGCTGAAGTCAAGAGAGTGAAGCTCGTAGTCACGGTGAGCGGCTATGTGCAACAGCACCCGAAGAGTGGTCATCTTCGGGGTGGGAGAGAAGGTCTGAAAGTAGTCAACTCCCTGCCGCTGACTGAAGCCTCGAGCCACGTAACGCGCCTTGAAGACGTGAGGAGAACCCGGCGGCCGCTTCACCCTGAAGATCCACATGCCACTGACGATGTTCGCCCCAGGAGGGGGAACCTCGTCAACGTAGGTGCGTGTGGACTTCCAGGAAGCCATCTCTGCGTCCATGGCTGCCTGCCACTAAGAGGAGTAGGGACCCTCTATCGCCTCCGCGTAAGAGCGCGGAGTCGGGATGTCAAGTGCATCCGGGTCTCCCTCAGGGGCAAGCAGCATGGCCACGAGATGGGGTACAGCAGCAGCAAGACACTGGAACTCCTCCTGCCTGTCCTCAAGGACGTCCGTGCTAAGAGCACACTCACCCCCGACGGACGGAGGACAGACAGACTCAGACTCAGCGACAAGACTAGCGGCGTAGTCTAGACGACAGACAGCAGCAAAGTCAACAAGCTCAGTAACCAAGGCAGACGCAGCAGTGGACTCAAACGACGGGTCAGTGACAACAGTAGCTAACAGACGCGTGACAGTAGGGTGCTCGGCCCGAAACCGGTCAGACTCAGGGTCTGGAACGGCAGGCAGGGAGGACGCAGGCGGGGAAGGCAGAGGAGCAGACTGCGGAGCAGAGGAAGGACGACGGACAACAAGGTGCGCGCTAGGTACAGGCGGCTGACACGTAGGAGAAACACGACGACCAGTACGACTGGGACGACCAGACCGAACGGGCGAGACAGGACGCGACGCAGGCTCACGACGCTCAGCAGGACCACCAGCCTGCTCAGTGTAAGGGGAAGGAGCAGGCAGCGGTGAGCCAGCCGGTAACGGAAGACCAGTGGACGACGGGAGAGTAAGAACCTGACGCGGGCGGCAGAGACGACGGAGACGGTGGAGCGAAGAACAGGCGTGGCGGCGCAGCTGCACCAGCACCGGTCGCTCCAGTAGCTCCAGCACCTCGAGTAGCTCCAGCGTCTCCAGCACCTCCAGCAGCTCCAGTACCTCCAGCAGCTCCAGCGTCTCCAGCAGCGCCTGCGCCTCCAGCAGCTCCAGTATCTCCAGCAGCACCAGCACCTCCAGCAGCTCCAGTGTCTCCAGTAGGAGCACCCCCAGAACCGGCACCTCCAGTCCCAGGGTCTCCAACCGCAGAGCCGCCCGCAGCGGCACCCCCAGAACCGGCACCGCCTGCCCCAGGGTCTCCAGCCCCAGTGTCTCCAACAGCGGCACCCCCAGACGCAGCAGTCCTAGCAGCTCCAGTACCCTCAGTACGAGCACCTCCGGAACCAGCGTCTCCAGTACCTCCAGTAGCAGGGCCCCGGGCTCCAGCAGCGCGAACCTGACGGCGACCGTACCAGTCGTGCAGCTGCTGTGGAGTGAGAGGCACACGCGAACGAAGGCGGCCACGCCAAGGGGACCGCACAGCAGCAGTCTCAGAACCCTCAAGTGTCTCACCCCCAAACTCAGCACCCCCAGACTCCGCACACACAGGCTCAGCACCCCCAGACTCAGCACCCCCAGACTCAGCACCCCCAGGCTCCGCAAGACCTAAAGTCCCCTCACACGCAGGCTCAGCACCCTCAGACTCCACACACACAGGCTCAGTACCCCCAGTGGCAGCACCCCCAGACTCCGCACCCCCAGGAGCACCGCCCACAACAGCACCAGACTCAACAGGAACCGGTGGCAGAGGCGGTGAGGAAGGTCGTGGAAGGAACCCCGGAGGGGTCTCCAAGCGGGGAGCGCGGCGGGAGGCCGTCGGGGCGTCAGCAGCAACGTCACCCCCCTCGGGTGGGCCAGAGGTGTCGGAAGTGACCTCCAAAGGCTCAGCCAAGGGGGGGGGGTCTACCTGAGACACACCTGAAGGAGCAGGACCCTGAGGGGGGAGGGGGTCTACCGGGGGGGGACCTGGCGCAAGGAAAAGCGGTGGGGGCGGCAGGGGGGCAGCGCGGTAGGGGAAGAGACGGTAGTACGGA